TTACAGAGAGAGACTTACAGAGAGAGACTTACAGAGAGAGACTTACAGAGAGAGACAGAGAGGGAGAGGTGTAGAGAGGGAGAGGTGTAGAGAGGGAGAGGTGTAGAGAGGGAGAAGTGTAGAGAGGGAGAGGTGTAGAGAGAGAGGGAGTGGTAAACTGTGTGTCTGTGAAACAAACTCAAAAACATTTGTATGAAAATGAGCTTTAAATTTCACAATTAAAATAACGTTTAAACGCCATTTATTTTACAATGAATCCCAATTTTTCAATGAGTATGTATATTTATGTCGTAGTTTTACTCTTTTATAATATTCTTTAAGTAATAATTCGGTTGTACAAACTAAATTTTGAAAATTTCAAAAATGAACTTAGGTGGCGATAGATGACAACTGGAATGAGGATGGGGCAAGACTGTAAAGCCAGTCCACACCTAGGAAATTAGAAAATGTAACTACGAGAAAGTCTGTGCCATTCTGCAGCACCACTGGTTCGTTATCAGGGTCCGACAATGATTTTATCTACCGAAAATACGCCGTTTTTGCACGCATTACTTCTTTTTTTGTATACAGTGTATATTGCTCCTTATATTCCTACGTATACAAGAATTAATAAGTGCTATTCTAAGAGGTCAAATAACGACAACAGCTGAGGTGCTAGGAAACAAATAGTAAAAGGTCCTATCTTGCTTACAGTCGTGTACTTGTTGCAGTGGTGCCTACCGCCCTTGACCCGTTCCCCGGTTGGGTCGACAGCTTCAATGGTCCCATGCGTCTGATGGCCGGCATTGTGAAGGGCGTAGTGCACACGATCTACGTCGATCCCGACTGCAACGTCGACTACGTTCCCTGCGACATCGTCGTAAAGGGAATTGTCTTGTGCAGCTGTGAGGTCGCCAGGAAGAGGTGAGATTCCGGAGAATTCCGAAAGCGTGGTTCGTCACGTACCACTTACGCAGTATGCAGAAAGTATTCTAAAACTACTGCAAAATGGCGATTTTCGACAGACAAACTCTTGTTGTGGGTCCCTCTGAATGAAAAGGCAAATAAATGCAGTTCCTGTTCCTATATAAATAATAAATCCTATCCTCTAAGACGTTGTGTGGTCAGAATCCATGTTTTGTGAGTCCTTGATAATGAAAAATCGATTATTTTACAAAACCTTTTCAATGTAAGACAACATTTTTCATCGCTATGAATTATAGCGATGAAAAATGTTGTCTTACATTGAAAAGGTTTTGTAAACTAGATATTGAATCTTTTGGAAACGGAATTCAATAAACTGCTTTATGATTAAAAGAAAATATGTTTTGTAAATACAGAATTGAAGTAATTGAGATTCAGTATGTAAAATTGCAATCAATTCAGAGTAAAACTATTATTGCTGGAATGTCCATATGGGATTCAATTTCATGAGATATTGAAATAGGTTTCCACGGAATGATTTTTCGAAGGTAATAGAAAGGAGGTTGATTAAATAAATGTATTATATTATCTTTGATTTTCATTTGAGGATTGAATAAATCCAAATTTTACCAGAAATGTGCTATCGATCACTTCATATGCAATCTCCCCCCCCAAGATTCTCCCTACCAAGACCCCTGTGTCTTTCAGGTATTTCAAATAAAATATTTATGATTAATGTAACTTGAAATTAACTTCTCCCCATAGCATGTCATACACAGTTTTTAACTGTTTTTGACGTAAATAAATGTAATAAATTTGGCGAAGTATCGTCACAATATATACCCATTACACATACGTAGCTTGTGGCGTTGAGCGATGTCGCTTGCCTTGCCAAGGACGCCCGAGTTCGATTCCGGACAATCTGCTTCACAGGGTAGTCCAACTCTTGTGAAGCGTCCTAAACTCTACCATTTTCCTAATTCCTTCTCAATTGTGGCCGCTGGGTGGAGACGCAGGAACACTTGAGAGGCGTGTACGCGGATATGCTACCTGGCGGTCCTCTTCATGACACCTCACACATCTTACAGATTACAGACTGCTAATATTATAGTATTAAGTATAGTTTAACGGATGAGTTCTACGCAGAGTTAACATAGAGAAAAGTTGTAAAGTGACAGAATGTAAAAAAAAGTTATCCCAATTAGAAATTACCAGGAAAGTAATTATATATTACAAGAGTTAATAGATACAATATTCCAATCCCAAAAAACAACATATTAATATGTACTCCCAAGACAAAAAATATTACTATTGCCACAAAAAGAAACCTTACTTGAACGGTCAGGGAATAATTAAACGATTCCCGTAAACCCCACCGCCTTATATTGGTCAGGGCATCAACTGATATCACTGCAAATCCCCTGACCAGCCTGATTCAGCCCCATGCTTGGAGGAGAATTCTAGCGTCCGGCTGCTGAGATCGGTAGTTATCCATGATTTCTTCGATCAATACCAGGCGAATGCCGGAGCAGTACCCTATCCAATGGACAATGGCGCCTTCCTTCCTTTTCCACGTCCTATCCTCTACCTTATTTACACACACAATATGAATTACCCTACCACATATATCAGAAGAGCAGTCAAGAGCTTGTAACTTGTCGTGGGAGGGGCTGCCGCTGCCCTGCCGCTGGTGGGAGATACCTGATTGTAGAAAACTCTGCTATCAGACATGCTGTTGGACGCTGGATCTGACCATCTAGAGGAGGAAGACCCCCCCCTCTACCTCCTAAGGATAAACCTGAACTACATTTATTAGACTATGACCTTATCAGTTGACATTTTTGAAAACACTAAATAATAAATCCATCCACCCGGCAGCTCCCCGGCCAATTGCATCATGAGTGAAGGGTGTGCGGTGTGTGGCTGCGCAGGCTGGGGCCGCCGCTCGTCTACCAGGCTGCGCGGGTGGGGATGCATCGCGTCACCCAGGGCCGCGTCTTCGACATCGAGTGCGAGGCCAGCGCGGAGCTGCCCTTCTCGGACACCCTGTATCATCCGTGCGGCCGTACGACCAGCAATTACCTGCTCTTCCTCGTGCAGTTCTTCTTCTTCCATCTGGTGCCAGCGGTGATAGGAGACGCTCTGTTCTCCGCCACCGGCCGCAAACCCATGTGAGTGCAGCACTGGTTAATTATCAGCGCCGGATGCAAGCGTCGGCCTGTGTGAGCACACCCTACTCACAGGCCGACCTGGCGCCGTCGCCCGTACAGCCTTTGTCACTACTGCGGTCGTCGAGGCGGCTTCGGTTAAAAAGTTGAGGAAACTTGAACTTCCTATCACGAGAAGTTTCTTACACCAATGGCTTTACAGACACAATTTCGAACATTCTGCCTCGTTCACCTTTATCCAAACTTTTCTCTGGACTGGTGCAAGAACATCTATTTGCGATACTAATTAAGAAAAATGTTTTAAAATATGTTTGCATCTTACGAATCACTGCATGAACGAAACGGTTATGGCTTCTCTGGTAACGAAAACAGAAAGAGGATTATTGACTTGGCTCGGGATATCAACTGACTTTACTGTTATGCATCAGACTGGGAACCCTGCGGTTCGACTCCTTGCTGCGTCATTCTGCGATTTTCTTGCACCTCTACTTTTAAATATTGTAATACGAAATTTCTCTCAAAACTAAGAAAATTATTTTTTAAGTCATGATATTAATTAGATGATTTTGAAAAAGAAGTTTCATTTGAAGAAATAACGCTTGATTCAATGTTGTAGTTTTAGGTAGACGCCGAAAAAATCACACTTTTGTAATTTTCGAAACGTTGGAGTTAACAGGAGTACACCATCTTTAAATCTTCTACATGTATTTTACTCTATTCTTACAAGAAATGTAAAGAACAAATTTGGATATATTTTTTAGTAAATTTTGAAATTCTCCCAGGAGTTCATATAAAGTATCTTCGAAATTTAGGGAATGTTTATCGAAATCACAGAAATTTAGCCGCACCAGAATATTGATTGGATCGTAAAAAAAAAACAATTTTTTCGGTATGAGCTTACCCCAAGACGTGTACTATTTCTGTTAAAATCACGAAGCTACTTTCTCTTAACCATGTACTATACATTACTCTGTATAGACACGAGAAAGTAACTAGCGGTTCATCGGAATGGCACAGACTTTCTCACACTTGTTTATTTACATCTTGTCTGAGCTAACATTTCGAATTTCCCATTGTGCCAGTTGTGTGGTTGAAGGTACTACATGAATACGTGTGATTTAAATTATATTATAGAAGAGTAAAACTTGTACGCATTTTTTTGTTGAAAAAGTCAGTCGGTTTTGAGAAAATGACTTCTGAGCGTTTCTAAAAACGCGCGATTTTGAGCTGATTTTCACACAAAAATTCTGTTTTAGATAAACTTGACTGGAAATAATTTGAAGTATTTTTACTCCGATGTTGTTTTCCAGCTGAAAAACTCTCTTGGAACTGTTATTGCTGTCTCTTGTAGCAGTTCTCGGGGTTTATTGGTCTTGGTGGTAGTGGATTAATTCACTATCCAAGAGAACTTGAGAGGGTTTTTAACGCAGGTGTCGGGTCTATTACATGTTTCAAACCCCGGGCGTTCCTCATAATGTACAGCCGTACTTCCCGATGCATACGTCTTTCTATCATTTTCTAAACTTAGGGCGTGTCTATTCCCACATACATAGTTACTGTGCACCACTATGCCACAGGTTGATCCGTCTGCAGCGCCAAATCTACTCGACCAACATGGCGCTTTCGTTTTTCGTCCTGCAAAACTGGGACTTCTCGAACAAACGATTCCTGGGTCTGGAGAAGAGGCTGCGGCCAGAGGACCGTGAGGGATTCTGCTACCAATTGGAGAACATCATACCTGAGGCCTTCTTCAGGGACGCGCTGCACGGCACGCGCCGCTACCTCATGAAGGAACCCGACAGCAATCTCCCGCAAGCCATTCGCGCTTATAAGAGGTATGCTCTGAAGGCATGGACTAAAGGAATGAACGAATGAAAGGGATGATGAAGAATGAAAAGAAAAGTGATGATGAATGGTATGAATGAATAATTGGAATGAATAATGGTAACTCCCGCTCCTCCAGGGACCATTCCCAATTAACTTCCTCGTGATCAGCCTAGGCCCGTATCAGCGATTGCGCCATTCCGCTAAGTATCCTTAAAACAAAGCACAGGCAGATTTCTCACTGATCTCTCAGCCTACAGATGACCAGATATTACGATAAAACTTAACGGAGTAATTACTTAAACGGAGTAACTCGTTTAGGATTGATCGGGAAAAAATTAATATCTCACGTACGAATAAAAACAGTAGTTATACTCACTGGTGTTCATTCTCTCCCATCACTTCTGGTTAAGCAAAATGAAAATTTCATAATTTTGAGAATTAAAATTACAAAGAACTGCATTCCAAATGATCAAAAATGTTTAACACACTGTACACTCTACTGCGTTCTCTGCATCGGCCCACTGCTATTGCAGTTCTCTCACCCCTGACCTGGGCATCTTTCATGGGCCTGGGTGTTGCGCGCGCATCTACTTCTCTGGGCCCGAGGCAGGCGGCGATCGAAGAGAAGCCGCAGCCAACAATGCACTCAACTCAGCCCGCTGGGAATGGATGACGTTTCTCCCCTTCCCGCTGCTTCAAGTCCAGACTTCACCTGGTTCAGAATATAGGTGTTGTGGTGCGTTATCGTTGGCATTTTTCATGAAATAATTATAGACGTTGTCATTGCCAACAATAGTATTTAATATAAGAGCAGCTTTCGATGGCTTAGCCATCATCATCAGTTGTCTGCTGGATGGAAGCCACAAAACGACTACCGTTTTGTGGTAGTTGTTTTATGGCTTCCATCCAGCAGAAAACTGATGATGGCTAAGCCATCGAAAGCTGCTCTTATATTAAATACTATTGTTGGCAATGACAACGTCTATAATTATTTCACCTGGTTCGTCCTGTCTGCGAACGAGATTCTTTGAGCCGGAAGTTGATGTCCTAAAAATGTCAACAATATACAAGCATTATGATCTAAAAACGATGAAAATACGACCATGAATATGACTTATGACTTCGGTTGCGTTTTCGAAACCTCCATAAATCATTCCACTGTTTAATTAACCATTAGATTAAAAATATGGTGGCAAGAAATATGTCAAAATAGAATCAAAAGGATAAAAATTTAACAAAAAATACGAAAATGCATGGAAGAATATGTCCATAATATGAAGTAGTGGTGCAACAGAATGGCACAAACTTTTCCGTTAGTTTTCTATTACCTTTAGCCTCGGCTAGCTATTCGGACTTGCCAGCTGCCATCTATCGCCGCACAAAGTATCTTTTTTTAATTTTCTCAATTTTGTCGGTTTAATAATGGTAACGGAAATATTATTTTATGGATATTAAAGTTATACCTCGTCATAAATAGCAATTTCCTTTGAAAAAATTAGAGCCGGTGTTAAGAAAATGGCGCTTAATCGTTGTTCGTAGTTTGAAGCGTGTAAATTTGAAATTTAAAGCACTTTTTCACAGCAACTTATTGTTTTCGAAAAACTTCAATAGAAACCATTTAAAGAACTTTAACTCGCAAATACAATAGTGCTTACAAATTGCTGGAAATTTACTAAAAATGCATATGAACGGCGTGAGAGATTTAAATTTTTTTTAATTTTTGAAAAAATAAAATGCATCCCAAACTGAATATTACGTCGTATTAAAACTGAATAGAATTGAAGCCTTATTTTACGTGTCGAGACACAGGCCGTGAGGTCTGCTCTTCCGTCTGACCACGCAAATTTTGCTACGCTCCTTTCACCAACTAGCAGTGAAAGAAGGACGAGAAACAGACGATTTGAATTTAGCTCCGAGGCGTCATTTAGGCTTGAGGATCTTTTAGATGCAATTAAATCTACTAACATGGGACAGCCGGCTTTACTTTCCTTCCGAAGAAAGGCGTACGAAGGATTTTTTCGCCCTTAAAAATGCACGGATTCAATCGGGTTTGAACCCGCCAACTTGGGTACAACAGCCCGATACGCTAACCGTTACACCATCGCGCGCAAATTACAATTAAGCACTATACGTTGGGAAGGGTGGAAGAAACAAATTGGAAGCGTTTTTGAGAATTGGCCTTTGAGCGTTTCTGAAAATGATTAATTTTCAGCTACTTTTCACATAAAAAGTTTGCCTATTTTAAGCGTATGTATTCATAAATATAATATTGTGAACAAATTGTCTGTAAATATTAACAAAGGGAGAGAGAAGTAAAAAAATAAATTTTTGTAATTTTACCAAAAAAAGACTAGAGCTAACTAATGTTTATGTTCATGCTCGCAATATTGGGCCAAAACTACTAAAATTTTCAAAAAGTTTACATGGCTTTAATGAAAGAACTAATTAAGGAAAACAAATTATAATTCAAAGGAAAATCTCTATCTTCAATTTTGTAGTTGTACAAAGACTCGTAAATAATACAAATGTTTTAAATTTTCCAAAATTCAGAGTCAAATTGGATATATGATATCTTTATTACTTATCTATATTTATTTACCTGTATTTTACCATTCTTACAAGAAATGTAAAGAATAAATTTGGAGTGGAAGTTTTCACAGAAAACAGTTGAATTTTCGAAAATCTTTATCTGACATTATTTGATTAAACTGTTCTCATATTAGCGACATGAGAGATAAGTCAAAAATGCATCTTTGTAATTTCAGAAAAAAAAACAAAAAAAAGCAATGTGGCGTTTATGTCATCCTACAGAGTACATTTAGTACTCTCCCTACTAAAGGATTAAAAAAGAAATTATGAGCCGTATTTGAGAAAATGTTGCTTTCTTGTAATTTTTTAAAATTTCACAAATTGCACGCAATATTTAGTGAAAACCGATAAAATTAAAACCAAATTATGGTCAAAAATTTTCTTTTCATGGGAAAATCTCGATCTTTTAGATTTGTAGTTTTAGGAAGACTCCGAGAAATGTTCGAACCTTTGAAATTTTCGAAAATTGAGAGTTAACCGTGGAAAACAGACGTATGTCACCTTTATAAGTATGTTTTACTATATTCTTAGAAGAAATTTAAAGAAGAAAATTAAAGCCATATTTAAGAAAATGTTCAAAATGTCCAAGGAATGTCATGTAAACCAAAATGAATGAATGATTTTCAAAACTCAGGGCTTTGACTCAGGTCAAATGGACAGCACAAATGCAGTCAACCGTGAAAATCAGACCTAGGCCAAATTTATAACTGTATTTTACTATTTGCTTAGAAGAAATTTAAAGAAAAAATTTGGAGCTGTTTTTGTGAAAATTTTGAAAATGACCCAGGAACTTCATATAAAGTACCCCGAACGCTAATGAAGGATTTTCAAAATGGTAGAGCTTCGACCCAGGTAACATGAACAACAATTTCTTGAATTTGGAAAACATCGTACGCATGATTTTTGCGCTAGTGTTGTTCACATACACCATCCGGGAAGACGGACGGACGTTAAAAAAAACTTTTCTATTATCAGGAGACCCCAAAACGTGAATTACTATTGATCTCTCGAAATTGATTTTCCGCAACATTACGTAATTTTCCCTGTACTACTTATATTACTCCGTATATTTCAGCGTTTTCCTACAACTTCAAAATTGAAAATAGAGATTTTTTCACATGAAATTTGTTCTCCTTATGTTGTTCATTCATTGAGGTCATGTACATTTCTTTTCTTAACAAATTTTGATCGCTTTTGCGCAATAATGCGTGAAATATGTGCTGATTAAAAAGTAAGATTTTCTCATAAACGGCTCATAGTATATTCTTTAAACGTTTAGTAGAGATAGTACTAAATATACTCTATAAGATAAGATATACACCATAGTGATCTATTCTTTTGTTTTTTCAAAAATTACAAAAATGTAAATTTATTCACTTGACTCGTTCGTTAATATTTACATCAGTCACATTAATGCATTTATTGATTACATGTGCTTCAATTAATGTCATGTATAGTTTCTCCAAAACTCAACGGCTTTCTGTGGAAATGAGCTCACATTTCTTCATTTTTAGAAACTGTCAAAGTCTTTTCTAAAAAAACATTGCAAATTTTATCTTTAACACTTTTCCTAAAGGGAAGGGAAATTGCACTGTTTAATATGACGTTAACTTCGTTTCGCTGTAATTTTTTTCTTAAAAAAATACTCAAATGTAGTTTTTTTTAAATTCTCATGCCCTTAATATACCCATTTCCAGCAATGTGGCCATATTATTGCATTTCTGAGTGAAGGTACTTCAAATGACTTCGACTGAAGTTTTTCAAAAACACAATAGTTTTCTGTTAAAAAGAACTCAAATTTCGTATTTACAGAAACGCTTAAACACCATTCTCTTAAAAACGACTTGAAATGTTTCAACGAAAATTCTAATTTGAAACGAGGTTTTACTCTTCTTTAATAATCTTAATGTAATTTTTCAGTTTTTCTATTTTTATTTATCTTTGTATTTCTATCTCTTTAAGAAAAACCTTGAAAATAAAAAAAAATATACTTTGTGTGACGGTCGACGGCAGCTGGAGCTGACAAGAGAATGGAGCAAGTGCGAATAGCTACCAGACAAAAAATAAAAATACGAGAAAGTGTGTACCATTATATAGCACTATTGCGTTTGGCAGGAATCGATTTGAAATACGCAGGGCTTTTTTTTCTAAATAGAAAAACGTTTTACGATTGTTATCTTAGTCGATTACAATGTTTTTCCTTTTTTCATAATTAATAACTTTTAAATACTTAGTAATTTTTAAAATATTTAATAATATTTGCCTTCAAAAAATAAATATCTATATTCAGAAACTTTTTTCGTTCTACTGGTTAAAGGTAGCGGCAAAGTGAAGAACCATATAAACTTCATTGCTCTGATTAGGTAAATGAGCCCAGAATGCATTTAAAGTCTCACCCCATTTTTACTATCGGTTCCACGTTATATTACACGTCTTATCACAATACCACAAACGATACCCTAGAGTATAATTTTTACTCCTGAAATGGTAAAACGTGCACACACTGGAAAGAAATGTGCTTTTTTCAGCAGTTTTTACTTACGGGGATCTTCTCGGCTTGCGTATTTCATTGCCAGTTGCCAAGTCTGTTGTAAATCTAAAAATTTCAAGATCACATGTGTCAAGAACACATGTTTGAAGATCACATGTTTCCAGAACACATGTGTCAACCGCACAGCGGTTGAAGTGCAGTACTGCAATGGCGATGAATTGACGTTATGAATCTAGTGAATATGCAATATTCCCGCGACATTGTATGCACAGGTGAATCGCGATCGTATGAACGTTTATAAATTCAGCTGCAGCTGTGTTGGCACTAACTAAATGTCGCTGTCCATTGGCCTCTCCCTTGAGGTAATTTACAATAAATATGAACATTTTTAGACAAATAATTGTAATATATTATTCTTAAGTTCATGTAACCAGATTCAATCGGGAAATGCTATCTTCTCCACTTTCGCGGATTTCTTTTCTTGAAGACCACCGATTATGTTTTGTGGAGTACCTTCCCAAAGTTTTCTTCAAACGTCTAAAATTCTGATTGAGTTTTACACCAGAAATTGATGTTAATATTTCGCGCCTACCTTCGGCGCTCATTCTTAAGGGAACTTTCTCCAGTATCCCTCAAATAAACTTGCGTCCATGGTAACCGAAGTTACATTCTCGACATAAGTCTAACCACAAACATAAATTACCCCTTTTTTCAGTCCGTAATACCTCATCTCGATTGGGATCATAATCCCATAATATGAGGATTGCCTTTTATATTTCAGGATTAGAGAACAAAAACAAATATTAATCATCGAAAATCACTATATTGGTTTTCAAAATAGTCCCCATGAATATCTATACACCTTTGCATGCGTTTGAACCAATTGTCGAAGCACTTTTCCTACTCTGATTGAGGTATCTCCAAAACATGCATTTTGAATGCAGCAACCGCTTCTTCAGGTGTCAAAAAACGTTGACCTCTGTTTGTTTTTTACGTTCGGGAATAAAAAGAAGTCACTGGTGCCAAGCCAGGACTATACGGCGGATGACCTATCAAATCGATGTTTTGGGTGCTCAAAAATGCAGGTGTTTGAGCCGATGGGTGAGAGCTCGCGTTGTCGTGGTGAAGAGTGATCCGTCTTCGGCGATTGGTTTTCCTGATTTCTTGGAAGACAGCTGGCAAACATCGTTGTGTACCACTCAGAATTGACTGTTCTGCGTTGTTCTAGTGGTACGGTTGCGACACGTCCAGTTTTTTCGAAAAAAACAGGCGAAGTGCTTCGTGCGCGAACAACTTTTGTTAGATTTTGCTCATCTGGAAACACTCATACAGTCGACTGCTGTTTACTTTCGGGCTCATACGCAATTCATCACCTATCACAATGTCATAGACGCGTTTCGAAGCACCGCGATCGTATTTTTGAGCATTTCTTTTAACCAATCGACACGAGCCTTTTTTTGAGCGATTGACAAATTGTGTAGGATCCAACGCGAACAAATTTTTTTGACAGTCAAATGTTTATGCAATAATGAATGTATGCTGGTCCCACTAATGCCTAAAGTTGTCTCAATCTCACGATACACTCACGTCACATGACGATCTTGCAATATCAGTTCACGCTCAGCATTAATGGCTTTCGGAACAACTGATTTTGGACGACCTTCGCCAAATTCGTCTTGGAGTGAACTACGACCACGATTGAATTCACCATTCCATCGATAAACACTGGTCCTTGATGGAGATGCATTGCCAAAAATTGAATGAAGTTCATCCATGCACTGTTGCTGAGTTAATCCACGTCGTAAGTTGTAAAAAATAATCGCACGAAAATGTTCACGATTTAATTCCATTTTTGGGCCAAGATGAATATTTTATGTTACTGTAAACAACTCAAATAGCGTTCGTATGTCAAAACTTTCTGAGTACGCATAACCTCAAAACATCCAACTTTACGATAGAGCTGTCAGATGCCAGATTGCAACACCAGGGTTGCCAAATCCCGAAACATGAAAGGCAACCTTCGTAATATCATTTCAGGATTTTGCTAAAGTAAACAATATAAGAAAACCAATAAATGAGAAAGTAAACTGAGATCTCTTTAGACTAAAGTAGCCACGCAATTTGTCACTTTTATCTCCCAACACTACACAAGAATCACCGTTCCTTTGTAAGATTTATCTATCTTTTTTGGTTGAGGTGTTGGAAGTACGTGGAATTACGACCTGTCCGAGCTGCTCCAAGTTCTTTTGGGCGTTTAGTTATTCCTCGTCAAGGTTTCGTAGTTTCGAGGGAGGTAGCAGATCCCCGGCAGTGACATGATGTACGTGCGGCAGTTGAACTGTTTCTGACTACGCAAATCCTTGCTGTTCAGTATGGACCATATTTTGCATTATACACTGCTGTGGCACGTTAACACTTAATTGCGACTGGAATGAAATGTACCCAGCTTAATATTGCGGCAACAATTGACCATTTTGAAACGCGAACATAATGTTATTTTCCACTGAGCTTGAATGAGAAGTCTCTCCGATGGCTGCTTCTTCACCATTGGTTGCGTCCCTTGCCATTTTTATATGCCTTTAAATATTCTTATCACCCATTACACTGACCTAGTGTTGACGGCTTGTTATACACAATTTTAGAAAATAAATAAATAAGGAAGGAAAAAGAAGAAAGAAGGAAGGAAAAAGAAAGAAGAAGGAAAGAAGGAAAAAGAAAAAAGAAGGAAAGAAGGAAAAAGAAAAAAGAAGGAAAAAGAAAACAGGAAAAAGAAGAAAGAAGGGAAAAGAAAAAAGAAGGAAAAAGAAAAAAGAGGGAAAGAAGGAAAAAGAAGGAAGGAAGGGAAAAAAGGAAGGAAAAAAGGAAGGAAGGAAGGAAGGATGGAAAAAAGGAAGGAAGGATGGAAAAAAGGAAGGAAGGAAGGAACGATGGAAAAAAGGAAGGAAGGAAGGATGGAAAAAAGGAAGGAAGAAATAACAAGTAAAACCTACACATGGTACTGTTGGCGCGTCGATAACACAGTAACCTCACTGGTAGTAGTAGAAAGCTTATTGCGAGGGGCGACTCGCAGAGGTCTTACCCCGACAGGAGCCGAGCTCGAAGTGGTAACTAAATTATATTTGCACGATTCAACCACACGAAATATGTATTAGCATGATACGACCTACTATAATGTAGTTAGGCGGTAGGTAGTCGTGGTTAGGCGGAAGAGCTGGCCCTATGGCCTGAGCCTCGCCAGTAATAAAGACATTATTATTATTATTATTATTATTATTATTATTATTATTATTATTATTATTATTATTATGTATTCTAACGGCAAGCAAAGATGTTCAATCCTCTCACATTAAGGAAGAAAAGTATCCCTTTTGATTCCTGTTGCCATGGAAGGCTTTAATTTAGTATTAATAAAATTAAATTGAATTATACTATTATGTTAATGATTTTTTAAAATGGGAATTTGATATTTCCCCTTTCATATTGACGTATTATCTCAAGTTTTCAATAAATTGTGAAATAATCTTACTATTTCCCTGTCTCTCTTCTAAATTTATTTACTGCCCAAAAAATGAGAAGAAACTCAACAATACGTTTAACATTTGTGATGTAGTACTTATAGGAGTATGTACTGCAACTCTAAATACTAATTCCATTATCTTTACACAGGAAACGTTTAATTCATCTGATCCTGAAGACACTGTTTTATGCCACGATTATCTGGAGTATTTTATCCACGCTCCACTTTCTGTTGTTTGTGGAATGATGCAGGTGCTCCCGAAAATAAAAATGAACTATATCACAATGCAATAATTGAAACTGGAACGCCCGTATCTGTTTTTTATATAATTTTCCAGAATAACTTACCAAAAATATTGAATGAACAGTTAAGTGCGATGGAATGTAATCTACATACATGACATTAATAAATAATATAATTATTTCTTGTCTACCTTCATTTTTCACCCTTGTTCCTGGTGGTGAAAAGAGTTATATTGCACGAAATATGAGAGTTGTCGTAGTAAATTACATAAAGGTATGAAGCGAATCTTTAAATGCAAACTTCTTTGAGAATATGTAACATGCTGTAATTCTCTTTCAGCGTAGCCATCTTGAAAAAATGATATATCACTTATATTCGACTTAAATAAATTAAATGTTGCCAACGTATAATATGTTAGTATTATATACATACATATATAGTATTATATATGTATGTATATTATATATATATATATATATATATATATATATATATATATATATATATATATATATATATATATATATATATAATGCAACAAAAGTACTCTTTAAAACTTCCTTTTCAAAAAATATTTAAATGCATAACTTTGTGACAACTCAGTCTGTTGCAGGCTTATTTAAGAACACATTGAAAGAAAACAGCACAGACTCTTTTAAATTCAGAATTTATGGTATGTCGATTTACATTCACGACTTAAATCACACACAAACATATTCCCATCTTTTCCACACTATTTGTATAAATTCTTATAACATTCGTTGTAGTGGCAGTATTGGAACGAAGTAAATCACTCATGAAAACTATCTGCATCTCAAACTACATGCACTGAACTCACACTTTGACCCTCCCACAACAGCTCACACTCCAGCCCACATGGTTGGCAGAAGAATACATTTCACAGTGATACTAACTAGTTTTAAAACCTGTCAAAAAATCGTCCCTTCCTGAACATACAATTATGTATCTGAATGGACAATGAATAACACCATATATACTATGGCATATCACTTGAAATACAAAATTGCCACACAGAAATACTAAGAGATTACCAAAATTGACAGAATTTTTCTTCGTATCATTGCTGGAATGAATTCCACCTCTAGCATGACCTACACTCTCTTGGTAGGGAGCGTCTGTATTACAAAAAGAGGCGTTATTGAAATTCAAGATATGTAATGCAGTGTCATCTTCATAACACATGGTTTCTGTACTCACCAGGTTAGCACGCAATGTGCTCCATAGACAAAAAGCTAGATTTTGGTACTAATTGTCATTTCATAACCTATAATATAATTTGTAATATATAAAATGTAAGTGAAAAAAGTCCAATCTAATGTTATTGCAAACAAAAATAATAACACTATATAAAAAATAGTGGAATAATATTAGATTAATAGAGAAGTAACTTTGGTTAGTGAATAGTCGAGCATGCATTTTTGAAGTGTTAATGTTCATCAATCAAAGTGTATGGTTATGGGGCAAGGTAAATTTGGAGAAGAAGTAGAATCAAGACAAACCATTGTGCTTACCAGTGAAAATTTTAAATGGCTTAGGGTATACAAATCTTACTGTAATTACAAGAAACTATGTATGTTTTAAATATCGTATTCAGTACATTAAGATCAAAATAGCCAAGAAACATAATTTCTTATACAAATTGGGAACGTAATTTCATGACCAGTTGACTGTTAAAACCACGGTGTGCACAGAAAGCATACATAGAAGTAGAAGAAATCTAAGTCTTCTAAGCGTAACGTCACAAAGAAATATCGCCTTCAGCGCCGAGTAATATATTACACGTTCATTATACATTCGTAGACGGCAGCATCAAGAGCTACTATTGTTGTCAAAGAGAGTGCCTGAACACAAATCCGAGAATGTACGAATAGTGCCGATGTCTAACAGCATCTATCTAATACTGACGCCAGCTGAAACAGTCCGGGAAAAAGTGCTTGTTTTCTTTTTTTCGTTCCTATCTGAGGCAATATGAAATCCACGTCGAAAAGCGAGGATGTGTTCCGGCAGTAATTATCTCTCTCTCTCTCTATCCCTCTCTATCTATCTCTCTCTCTCGTTCTCTATCTCTCTCGATCTCTCTTTCTATCTCTATGTCTCTCTCTCTATTTCTATCTCTCTCTATGTCTCTCTAACTCTCTCTATCACTCTCTATCTCTCTCTATCTCTATTTCTTTCTCTCTCTATCTATCTATCTCTCTCCGAATTGTAGAATAACTTAAAATATCGGAAAAATTCACTAGCAACTATTGCTAGTTGCTAAATTCACTAGTTGCTTTATGGTGCTGTAGAACAAAATTAAATATTCATTCAACTCACAACACACTCAGCAGGAATTTGTTTGAATCTGTATCATTAAATAACTTCTAAACAAAGCATTCTAGGGCATTAAAAACTAAAATTTTGAAGCCAAATGCCTCCAAGAAACGCGTCTCGCTTCGTAATTACGAAATCTTTCTGAACATTCTTTTACTTGTTTGCTGCTGGGGAGGGGTGAGGTGGAGACGAAGAGAGAGAAAGGGAAATGAAGGGCAGAACAACGTCTGCCGGGGTTTGTTAGTTAAGTATAAGTAACGTGAACTATTGCTGCGAGAAAATAACACAAGAGTTTATTAATACCATTATAAAGACCTACGGAGAGAGCTGCATTACAGTACACTTTGTCAACGACAGTACACGATATTCACAAAAGGGAAGGAAAATATTTATAATTCTCATGCACATATCTATTACTAAATATTTATGTTCGTGTCCGCTTCTACTCTGCCGTACCATGCAAAGAGCGGGCCTGTATCTCGCTCACCACCATCTGTATCGTAACTAATCGAACAAAATCTACTGAAAATGTACGAGTCTCATTCAGTGGGCGGTGACCCCATGTAAAGAGATTGCAGCGGTGCGTCTGCGAATGTACAGTGAAACAATGAAGATCAACAATTAAACTGTAATTACGCGAAAACAAAAAGTGTCCCTTTTTTGTTACCAAACCTTGTCCCTAAGTATTTCGAGGTGAAAAACTGAAGGTTTTCTCACTAATAACAATATAAACAAAATTTAAAAAAGCTAGTACCTCACCTTTGGCAAGGCAAAATGATTTATCGACTACACTGTAGTAGTGTAACAGAATGGCACAGACTTTCCGGTATTTATTTTCTATTTCCTTTGGTTTCGCATAGCTATTTAGACATGCCACTCTTGCTAGCTGCCAACTATTGCCGTTCAATGTACATTTCTTTGCAAGTTGCTTAACTTTTCGGTTACCTCAGAGTAAAACGGAAATATTAATTTAAAAAAATTAAAGATCAGTAGCAACCTCGTCCTAAATAACAATTTTATTTCAAAAACTGAGAGCGTTTTAATGAAAATGCAGTTTAAGCGCTATTGTAATTACTAAAATTAAAGATATTTTTCACAAACAATTATTAACCTTTCAAAAACCTTCATTACAAGTATTTTAAGTCACAAGTAATATGTGTTTACAAATTTATGTGCATATTAAACGCGTGAGATACCTAAGAAATACATTTGTGTAATTTTTGGAAAAACAAAAAATACACTGAAATTAATTTAACATCATAACAAAGAGGTCACGTAGTACTATCCGTTGAAATTTTTTTTAAAGAAAACATTTTTGAGATGAGCTCTTTTGAAATAATACGTTTTTGCATTTCCGAAAATGTGGAATTTTGAGCTAGTTTTCAGAAAACAACGTTCAGTTTTCGCAAAACTTTATGACATTATTTAAACCACATTTACGCATAAATATAATGTCCGGGTGGTTCATGTAAAGAGCCCCCAAAATTTGAAGAAATGTTTTTCAAGCTCGCAGCGCCTTTAGTTAAGCCAGATCGACCGGTGAATATCCATTGGGGAAACGATCGTACGTATCATTTAGGAGATAATGTTCACAGACGGACCGACGTTTTGAAAGAAACAGTTTTTCGGTATCAGGGGACCCCAAAACGTGTATTTCAGTTGACTCCATGAAATCGATTTTCCGGAGCATTACATAACTTTCCCTATACTACGTAAATTACTTCGTATATGGGAAAGTAAAAAGAACTTTGTTCCCAAACTACGATGATCGCACTCGAACACTTTTTCACAAGCACTATTTGTGTACTTTTTACCCCAGTTGATTTCATGATCTTGGTTGTTGTTTCTGCTCCGAATGGGGATGGTAACAAAATAAAATTATTTCTATATATATTCCCATATTTTTCGGCAATTTCACTACCCTGGTATATTTTATAATAATGAAATATCTTTTAAATACACTCGTATTTACAATGAGGCTCTGTCTCTGCTGTCGCCGAGAAGATTATTGTAAATACCGTGAGAGACAGAAAGGTAATTCCTCCCAGAACGGACAAAGACGTATTATGCATACACGAGAGACTTATCAAATGTACATTTTGAATTACCAAACTTCACCGCAAATTAAAATTAATTCTCTAAACATTATAAATAATGCTATCAATATCGTCAAGAATTGACAGATTTTGTTTATTTTTAATATCATGGGAAATTCCTAAAATTAAGTTGCTGCAAGTGTCAGACGACGACAGAAACTTGGTATTCCCTACGAGACTAACCATACCAACCACCCCCTCTAACCAGACCTCACGCCATGCTGCACGGCTGCAAATGCTGCTTTCTAACCAGGCCACCCACCTTTCTGCGCTGCACATCTGGTGGCTGGTTGCCGTTCGAACACCACCAAGGACCTACGTTGAATCAGAAGTTCAAAGAGAATACTCAGTAAAAGAGCGTGACTTGTGCATTGCGTGGAAGAGCAGCAGGCGCCGGAGAGAGCGCCCGATATGCGCTCATTGATTTCAACATGATCCCGTTTACGTGGATATTGCTGCAATACCTTCAATATTGAATATAATTAAAAGGAAAATGTATATTCCCACCTTTCTATAAGATTTTTTTTCGATTATCTGGAAGGTGTGCAACCTTAGCACGAACAGTCCCTGTGATCACACTACCTTCCTTCCAATAGAGGAAGGCAAAGGCAAACCACCACTCAAAAACAGGGGTCACCTCAATGAAGAGTAGCGCATAAACGGCACACTCCGGAGATACGTGACAGTTTCGCCAAATCCGCTCTACCTGCCCAAACAAGCGCGGGTGTCCGTGGCCGCAATCAGCCTGTAAATCTGATGTAAACGAAACCTTGTTTTCTTCGGTTCGTGGTTGCTCATTCTGTGCAGACTTTACGAGGCCCTGAACCAAGGCGACTCTCCCAGACAGAAGCGACCGGGGCGCGGACTTGGCGGAGCGACAAATAGGGCGGCAAGCACTGTCAGGCGGCCGTGTGAAAACACCAGACGCGCAAAAAGTGGTCGTTGGAGAAAGATTGTGCCATGAGAAAACATTGAAAGGGTAATTCAGTCATTATTATTATTAATATTAGCAAAGCGATCCTTATCGCGGTGACGCGGCGCTGCTCACCTCGACCGGCCGCCCTGCGCTGCCCTGCGCCTCGGCGTGGGAGAATGCAGATTAAAGCGGACGCAGTGGCGATGGGAAGAGCCTTTTACCACACGTTCGACGTCTCCCACCGGTGCCCTGCGGCGAGAACCCAGCGCACCGTTAGTTGTTCAGACTTCTCGGCGCCGAAAGCATCTAAATTCGCCCCTCGTGTTTGCGGAAGGTAAGTTGCGCTAATGCGATTTACAAGTGGTGTTGAGTACAAACATTCCAACCTGGCACGTCTACTTACCACTTTTCTGATACAAATTAATAAGTATAGTGCAGATTGTACACTTTTCAACACCACCATTACCGGGAGACGTGGCTCAGGGTATCAACTGAGGTCACTGTAGTGCCTGAGTGGGTGGTCCTTCGAGTCGCGACGGTGGCAGGATTTTCGACACTAGCTGGTCAGCTATGTCGAATTCACTAGCTGTATGAACGAGAATTCTATCAGCCGGATGCGCTAATCTGTAGTTTTCCATAGTTTCTCCGATCAGTACCCTAACAAACGAGCCATGAACCGCGCGCGCTCTTTCCATCCTCTTCTTTGTCCTAACCTCACCCTTTACTTATAAGCACTTGCAGGCATTACACTACCACACATGCCGGGAGCCCGGTCCGGGGCTTAGAGTTTGTCCCGGCTGGGGTGGTGCCCGCTGTTGGGAGATATGTGGTCGAAACAGTGTGTTTGTCGTTTCTCTGTCAGCCCGCCCGTCCTTTTGTGGGCAACACTAGCGCCTAAAAAGTTGGCATTGATAGACAAATTTTGAAATAAATTTCGCCAGTGAGATCCAGATGGAGATACGCCCAACAGATAAATTACCCGCTTAAAAGAATTAGGTTAGATGAACCCCAAGATTTCATCAACAAAATAATGCATAGTGACCTGACACGTTTTGTGAGTTTTTGGATTGATGATCTTATTATTAAACAAGATCCCCAGCTAGAGAAATAGGGATCCAATTAATATATTGACGAAATATTACTAACACGAATATTGAATACTTGAAAATAAAATTATGACAAAGAACTGTGATGTTTCAAACATGAAATATAGCATTGCGTTTAAAAATTCCGCACCTTTTTTGAATCAGTTTAATTTGGTTTAAGATAGCATTACGGATTTTTCTTACGCATTCGGTCACTGGAAAAGATCAGAGTACTCTTTCGCTCGGTCTCATCCGGAAGGAAAGAGTACAGTTGCAGTGGTTGTCTTTCATGCATATGGATAATTTCCCTTCTGCTCATGTGATGTGGGGTCTTCCTTCTTGCACCGGAATGGACGTTTGGGTGTGTTGACGCTAGTGATTTCTTTCTCAAATCAATTAAATTTTTATCATTTGACTCTAAATAACTTCTTGTATAGTTTTTTAAAAAATATTAAATAGCTTTTGCTAATTTTGAGTGAACTTGAAGCAATTTTCCAAAAATTCATGGAGAAGGATTTCGTAAAACGGGGCCCCTCTTTGTTCCTTTGCCTTTTTTGTTACAGATATTGACTTATGGCCACATGTGCTATTTTCATTAAAACTTTTGAATTTTCACAAATGAAACGTTTCCATTTTTAACAATTCACGCGTTAATATTTATTTTATGCGTATATGCAATTTATGCAATTTAATGTCATTAATTTGTGCGCACACGTTTCAAATACTCTTTTGTGACGTTTCTTAAAATCTCCATTGTTTTACTTTCTCGCACTTAAGAAAGAACTTCGTAAGAAGAGTAAGTTAGATAATACTCGAAAAAAATGCGAATTTTCGGCAGAAAAACTCTTGTTACAGGGCGCTGGTAACGAAAATGTGTATAAATCTAGTTTCAAAATTTAGAAAAAAAGTCCTCTAACACGTGGTGTAGCCATAATCCCCGTTTTGTGGATCCTTGATACCGAAAAATCGATTGACGGCAAAATGTCTGTCCGTCGTGTGATTTACAAGTATTTTGAGATTCAATTAATATTGCACAAATATTAAATTCGGCAATGACAACAATGGGGTAAAAGACCCATGAACAAATACGTTTAATTAATATAAAAAAGATGGAATAATGCATTAGCAGTAATGGAGAAAAACCTTCGGAGTGGAATAGGTAATGTAAAAGCAATGTCACGTGAGCAATTACCGTGAAAATCATTGTCAAATGTGAGAAAATTAATACTAGCTAAGTAGTTCAAAGAATTGAATTTAAACCTTATTTTACGTGTCGAGACTTGGGCCATCAGGCCCGCTCTTCCGTCTGGCCACGCGAATTTCGCTACGCTCCTTTCACCAACTAGGAGAGAAAGGAGGTATTTCTTGGGCGAGAAACAGTCTATTTGAATTTAGCTCAGAGGTGTCATTTGGGCTTGAGGATCTTTTGCATGCAAGTAAATCTACGAACATGGGACAGCCGGCTTTACTTCCCCTCCGAACGAAGGTGTACGAAGACTTTTTTTGCCCTTAGAAATCCAAGGCTTACGATCGGGTTTGAACCCGCTAACTTCAGTCCGATACGTTAATCGTTACATCATGGCCACCGCCAAAGAATAAAGTAACGATATAAATGCGAGGGTAACCAGTGAGAGTGGAGATCACATTCGAGAGACCGATTTAGATGCGAGTACAGAGGCAGGAAGGAACGTGTTTGGAAAAGATTTCGCGCAGGAGAAAACAGGAGACGAGCGCGCACAACTCGAAAAGGGGGAGAGCTCGGTCGGACGTAGTGATGGAAGGAGGTGCAGATGGAACGCTCGCGCAGCAAAGTTGGTTTTTATTACGGGAATAGTTTAAATATGGCAAAGTGAAAATAGGCACGCATTTTAAGAGGTGAATGAAAATTAATTGAACTGTTCTTGATATAGAAATGAAATGAAACGTCGAACAACGGTCAAGCATGCGGCATCTGGTTCTGAAAGGAAAGTAACAATTACAGGACATATTGTTAGCAGAATAGAAGGAAGATAAGTTTTTTTCTTTCTTTTTTTCAATTCCTGCTAATTTACAATCTGTTTCACTTGGAACAATTAGTAATGTATAACAATGATAGAATTACTATGAAGAGAATATAAAGGGTAAGTCTAGAATATGTTTCACAGCTTAGCTCATACCACATGTTCTACTACTGTCCAACATGTCACGAGTGTTGCGATTCGGTTGGCATCCCAGTCTCTTCTGATGCCTCTTGCTTCTCTCCGAGATAGTCTCTGTCATTGTTGAGATGTTCTAATCTTTGTACAAATTATTGTTGGTGACGAACCACGGAGCGTTGCTTATATATATCTCAGTGTTTTTGTTTTGTATCTTCTCAGGATCTCCAGGTTTGACTTGCTGGCAGTTCCCTAGAGTTCGATGCCGTAAGTCCATGTTGGCTTGATTATTGTCTTGTACACTAAAATTTTGTTGTATAAGGAGAGCTTAGACCTTTGGTTAAGTAGACATGATAATTTGCTTAATTTCAGTTGTGATTCTTTCCTCTTTTTCAAGATGTGAGGTTTCCAGGTTAAGTGACTGTCTAGATACAAATACCAAGATACCTCACAACAGATGTTACTGAGAGTTCTGACGAATTAAATTTCACTTCGGGACACTGTTCTTTTCCAAGTGAGAAGGTAATCTGTTGTGATTTTGCTGTGTTTATATTTACTCTCCATTGATTCGTCCATTCTTCTATCTTGTCCAGATGCGCTTGCAGGTGTTGCGATGCTCGAGTTGAGTCCTCGTCGACAGCTAAAATTGCTGTGTCATTAGCAAATGTAGCCATCATTGTGCGTTCTGTTGTTGGTAAGTCAGAAGTATAGATTACGTACAGAATTGGTCCTAAGATACTTCCTTGAGGGACACCTGCTGTCTGTGGCTTAAATCCAGAGAAAACATCTTGGTATTTAATTTGAAAAAGGCGGTTGGATAGATACGTTTTAAAAAATGTATAGAATGAGTGCGGGAGTAATTGTTTGATTTTGAATAGCAGTCCTGCATGCCTGCTATTCAAAATCAAACAATTACTCCCGCACTCATTCCATACATTTTTAAAACGTATCTATCCAACCAAGGAATATATATATACGTTTAATATTTAAGATAGATACATTTGTAATTGGGGAAATAATTTGGCCAAAGTATTGAATGAAATGGGAGGGCTTATTAATAGAATATGCACATCTTTGTTTATAATCTTCATGGAAATGTAAACAGTAGAATATTATGTATGTATGTATTTACAGCGCAGCATAAACGTATATCAGTGTATTGCAAGTATATTTATTTTAGAGGACGATCTAGAGAATTCCCGAGTCTATAATAGAAAAATTAAACCCGTGAACGTAAACATTTCGTCATCGGGAGTCTGTACGGACGACCTATCGTACCCACCCCTATTAAAATAGCTCGGAGGGAGATGTCAAAAAATTGCAGTTCTATAATTATTTTAAAGAATGCAGCTAAATGGCATTTATATTATCTTATACCGTACATAGCACTATCCCTGACAAAAGTTAAAACAAAAAAAATTTGAGCCCTCTTTGAGAAATTCTTGTTTTCTTTGTTTAAGTTTTTAATAATGCACACATTGCATGCAATATTGCGCGAAAACGTCTAAAATTTAAACAGAAGGATTTAAAGCAGGACAAAGCCAGTCCGGATGCCCGAGATCGTGAAGGTAGTGCCGTAGCAATCTCGGACCGAAGGATCGCGGGTTCGAGTCCCGCCTCGGGCATGGTTGTATTTGTATTCGTCCTTTCACCCCTTATCAATACCATATCATGTCATCTTCACAGTTACCATAAAGTTAAATGCAATAGTGGTCGCTAATGACCTAGATGTTGATGCGACCTTAAATAACAACAAAAAAGGACTAGGGGGCAAAATGAGAGAAGGGGCACATAAAGAGAAAACGATTCAGAATTTATTTCTTGTAGTACTAACGACAATAAATGTCACGACTTCAAATGGCATTATATGTAATGGAAAGTTCAAAAATTGTAAATTTAATATATCTGTGCCAAAAAAATTGTGAAAAGAAACTTTTTTCTGTTGAGGCGCACGTTAGTGATATAATCGCCGCGCGGGGACTAACATTTCCATTCAAATTACACACTCTCTGTAAAACAAATCAAAATATGTTCTTATCTCCTCGTCGTAGCGGGGTTTGCCCCAGGCAGGTGTCTCGCTCTAGCGGCCAGGACATGCTGTACGCTCCCAACCGGTTTCCCAGAATATGTGGTAGTGTAATGCATGTGAGTGAATGTAAGTAAAGGTGAGGATGAGAAAAGGAAGAGGAAGGAAAGATCGTGCGCGGTATACTAGTCCGGTTATTAAGGAACTGCTCGAAATCACGAGAAACTACCGATCAAGAAAGCCTCCTCCTGACAACGATTGGCCTCGATCTATCCATCTGATGTCGAAAATCTTGCCATTGTGGGGTCTCGAACCGTCCACCCTGTCAGAGGCACTGCAGTGGCATCAGCTGATGCTCTGTGCCACATCTGGAACCAAATTTAAAAAAATCATTTCTCAAAAGCACGTCCAAATTTGTTCTTCAACAAGGAACGTTAAAAATTGGCGTAGGTCGCATTTTCTTTGATTTCTCTGAATTTTCAAAAATCGCTAGACCTACTTACTAATAAATGATGTCTGTATAAATATGTTTAATTTCTGCTTATAAAATAAGGAATTTTTGCTTTAAAACTTGCAAAGAATGATGACAATGTCGAAGTGAAGGTGAAATGTAACTCACGATGATTGAAGAAAAGAGCTTTCGTTTTACATATTCAAGCAGTGATAAGCTGCTTTCCTCACAATTTGTTTCTGTCAGTAGTAACGTGGGAAGCATAAGAGAATTCATTAAGTGTGAACAGGTTGTGGTTACTGATCCATATATGTATAGGGGAAGCGGGGGTAATGTGGTTCACGGGATAATGGGAGGCAGCGGTAAATTATCGATAAATAGTGTAATCGAACCATATTGACAAGCAAAAACATATGTTTTTACCTACCATTAGTTATGATAACTATAGCCAGTTGATCACCGCAGAAAAAAAGGTTTCAATGAGATTATCACGTTCGTACCAGGAAAGTGAGTGGTTGATATTAGAAAATGCTCTAAGAAAACAAGGTCTTACTCACGTGAACTCGGAGATTTCTGGATGCATTAAAACTTGTTGGAAAGGAAGTTACAATTGCGAGTAATTTTAAACATTATATAAAAGTTTATGAGTAGTTATAATAAAAATGTGCTTGTGAGGTTATGGTCGTCAGAGATTATTTTTATCGCAACGTGACTGCCATTTGCTCAAACAAAATAATTTATTGTTTTGATTGAGTTTAATTGCCCCCCCTGGTGCTATTTAGAATTGTAGCAAGAATGACTGGACGGATGAAGAATTCATTGAATGACTCAAAATTTTTACTCGACCAATAGCCCAGGACACAGTGCTGCTGATCTTTGACGACCTTGGGAATCACATTACTTAAGACGTCAAAAATGATAATAAACGAAATAAAGTTTGATATACTACTTGTAATATGGCCATTATGCTTCATATTCTTTTAATGACTCCCAAAGCCCGCATGTGCGGGTAATAGGGGTCAAATGGATTTTTATGCAAAATCGATATTTGAGAATCTTTGAGTGATTTTTTTATTATTATTTGCGGTGAAATCACTAGCTTAATACGTAATCTGTGGAATTGAAGCACTTACTTGTTCATTGGTACATGTTGTACTGATTTATATTGAAACTAGTGATGCTACAGAATGGCACAGACTTTCCCGTATTCGTGTTCTATTTCCTTTGGTCTCAGCTATCCATTCGAACTTACCACATACTCTTGCCTACAGGCATCTATCGCCGCCCAAAGTACATTTTTTTTAATTCTTAATTTTTCGGTTTCCTAGTAGTAGAGCGGAAATGTTATTTTAAGAATATTAAAGAACAGTAAAGCCTCGTCATAAATGGCAATTTCCTTGTAAAAATTTGGAGCAGTTTTTAATAAAATGACGTGTAAGTGCTACAGTAAAATCGAACTTTAAAGCTCTTTTTCACAGAAAACGTTTGGTTTTCTAAAAACTTCATTTTGAGTCATTTGAAGCACTTTAACTCACAAATACAATTGTTATATAAACAAATATATTTTGTTAGAAATGCGCGTATTAACGGCGTGAGAAATATTTCAAAAAATTACATTTGTATAATTTTTGAAAAACAAAAAGATTTTCCGAAATGCACTTTACGTCAAGTTAAAGAGTGCAATTAGCACTAGGTCCGAACAGTATGAAGAAAATATTTGGAGCCGTTTTTGAGAAAATAGCGTTTGAGCGGTTCTGAAAATGCGAAATTTTGAGCTAGTTTTCTAGAACACGGTTGAGTTTTTGAAAAACGTTATGCGACATTATTTAAAGTGCATAAACTCGTAAATAAAATAATTTGAAAAATTTCCGCTAGAATAAATATTAACGACGAAGGAGGCAAGTTAAAAAATTACATTTTTGTAATTTTTGAAAAAACAAAAAAATATAGCAATATGCTATTAGGCGTTTATGTCATTAGAAAGTTGACAGGTGAAGAGCATAACTAAGTTGCAAGACGGACTGTAAAACTTACCTGTTCCCACATAAAATTCTGGTTGCTCAGAAAAATAAAAATAATTAAAACAATGGAGGACTATTTCCAATGGAGGACCAAAGTAGACCTGCAGAACACTAAAATATTTTTGGCTTGGATGAGTGACATCAAGTGAAATTATAGAAAGTATAATATAAATTAGATTTAATAATATTTAAGAAATGTAAAAGGATCCACAGTACATAATATTAAAAAATAATTGTGCGTATTAACAGTACAACAATACAACAATTTGTAATGATACAAACACATTAATTAAAGTGAGCTGTTATGCGTTTTAACTTAGAAGCAATTTGTAATACAAACGCATGAATTAAACGACTTCACAATAAATGATTGAGCGTATTAAGACACAGCAATTTAGAATACATCACATTAAAATAAAGAATTGCATAATAGCAATTAAGTATTGACTGACCAGCAATTTTAGTAATACAAATACATGAATTAAATAACTTCACAATAAACAAATGTGCGTATTAAGACAGCAATTTATAATACAACACATTAAATTAAAGAATTGCATAATACGCAATTAAGTATGGCAGTACCCAAAACATATTTGCATTCATATTACATTCATACTGAATGCAACGAAACAAAGGTAAGAAAGATACACAAGTTCATCAGAATACTTGCTAATATGACCCATATCGTCTACTCATCTCAGACAGCGCGGAGTGCGGACAAGCAACGCTCTGGGGTCCGTCCGGGACCGTAATCAGCGTCGACTACGACGCCTCTTGAGACAATTGCGAAGCGAGTTGGTTTGAGGGTTCGTCCACTGTATATACGAACGAGTATGAACTTTTTAAAAAAATGTACATAACGTTATTGAAAGAACTAATTATGGATAAACCAATTTCATTTGAAGGAAAATCTCAATAGTTAATTTTGTAGCTAGAGAAAGACATTTCATAAAAAATCACAGTTAACGGTGAAAATCGGACCTACGCCACGTTCATAAGTGTATGTTACTTTATTATCACAATGAATTTACAGAAACAATTTGGAGACGATATCGAGAAATTTTTGAAAAACCGTTTGATAGAAACGTTTATAAAGGTTTAATTTTAAATGTTTGATAGAAATAGGGATAAATGTTACACGAATATAACATGAACGTCATGTGCTCGATTGTTTTGTTTTTTCAAAAAGTACAATCATGTTCTGTTTACTTTTCTTTCAAGTCGTAAATATTTACATTAGCAGCGATTTGTTCACTTTCTTGCATTTAAGATAAAATGTGCTTTAAATAATGTCATCTTCAATTATGAAGTTGTAAGAAGTCGCCGAAAAACTTCAAAGGTTTTCGAATTATCGAAAATTTAGAATAAACCCTGAAAATCGAACCTACGCCACTTACATGAATAAAAGAATAAAAGAACAAATTATGGTCAACAAATTTCTTTCCAGTGGGAAAAAAATCTTTAATTTTATAGCTGTAGGAGGACAGTGAAACAAATTCATACTTTTGAAATTTCCGAAAATTCAGAGATAACCGCGAAAATAGGACCTATGCCATCTTTATAAGTGTATTTACTCTATTCTTACAAGAAATTTCCAAAACTCGAGGTGTAGCAGAGTGTTCAAAATTTCAGAGCGTCGACAGGGGTTTATTCAGTTTGGAAAAAAATCGTACGCGCTAGCGTAATTCACATACACCAGATGTACAGAGACAGACAGCACAGAACAGAAACGAAGGTGTTCGTAGGTGGTCCACCTGTCTGTTACGAATATAAGAGTCTCTTCGTCCATATTTATTTTTTCAAGTTGTCATCTGTGCTGCGACCCCTCTCCCCGTTCAGGGGCTGGGATTGGGAGTGTGGGTGGTGAAGCGACGAGTTGTTTTGTTAGGGGGGTTGAGGATGAATGGAAAGGGAGGAGAATGGGATGGGGTATAGGAAAGGAAAGCAATTGTTTTTTTCGGTTTCGTCCTGGGTTCATAGTGGGTCAGTAATGAGTCATTCGTTTTTACGTCTTTGTCGTTTGGTCTTGTTTTTCGCCATCTGGCCTAAACTATGGGAGGAGGGAGTTGCAGAATGTCCAGGAGGTGTTTTGTACGTGTGCCGGGGGAATCATTCGGATATGGATGGTGGGGTAATATAAGGTTTGGAAATTGAGAATTGGTGATGAACATATGTAGAGTTTGTACGGAGTTGTAAAGATGGGTGAGGATGTGGGGTATTTTGTACTGTTATCTTAGGTCATTAAAGCGGGTTAAGTGAGGGAAGATCAGTCGGATTACTCGGTTTCCAGTGACGGTTAATTTTCTGTAGTTTATAATGGATGTATTGAACCAGGTGGGATATGATTATTAACGTCGCGTGTTGTAGTTATACACAACGGATTTTGTTGAAAATATATTCCCGCCGTCAAGTAAGTCATTTTTGATAAAAGTTACTAATTTATATATCAAGAAACAAGGTAATGGTAAAATAAAAAGCTTCCGCGTTGTCACTTGCCAAGTGTTTGCTGAGCGTTTGTGTTTTGTGCGCAGATCCGGCGGAGCAGGCGCGCAGCGAGCCGAGGGGGACACGTGCTGCCGTGGACGGTGGCCGAGTTCTACCTGCGGGCAGAGCGTGCTGCTGACGCGGCGGCTCGGCTTCGTGGGGCGCGTGCTGCTGGAGAAGCTGCTGTCTACTGCCCCGACATCGACACCGTCTACGTTGCTGCGCGCCCCGCAAGGGGCTCTGCGGTGCAGGAGCGCCTGCACAAGCTGCTCGACGTCCCGGTCAGCACCACACACTAATGTTACAAACTTCTACTACTTTCTGGTAGTAATAGCAATTCTAAATAGCTGATCGAAAATGATCACTTTTAGGTAATGTGGTAGTGTAATTAGGTTAGGTAAAGTGAAATATGCCTTCAATTGCCTTACAATCTTCATGCCCAGATGCTCGACATGTCACGTTTTAAGGTTGTCAAGTCATGTCATCAATTTCATGTCCCTACAGGACATATTACTTACGAGATTGCCTAACAATTACAGGAAATATCACATGTACTCCTTTGAATGAAGCTTTCCACTTATTGTTCATTTGCTCATATTTTAACCCCCCTTCATGCTCTGCACGTTTTTAGCATTTATTGGGAGACATCTGTGCATTACTGAATAGTCAACTGCGTAGTCAAAATGTACCGTAGTAATATCACAGTCATTGCGCACAGCTTTACAAGGCGCGCTTTTAACCCTTTGCGCAAGGTGTCATCGGTAACATAAACGTCGCACAGGTCATCTGTATGATGGCGCCGAAGATGGCTTCCAGCACGGAGGTTGGTCGGAGGAGGCAGGTCCTACTGATCGGAAGGCATATCTCAGATGGCACCACCAATTCCCTGATCCTGTCGGAGGGCGTCTCAGAGATGACAGATGTTTCCCGTTAATTTTTCTAGATATGATCTGTAGCAACAATGTGACTGCTCTTGGAGCCGTAAATAGATGAACTATCTTAAACAATGCCAACGCTATCTGATCAAAAACATTTTTTCTCATTCATTTTGGTTGTTTAGTTAGAGCGTATTTCTAGTGCTATATTTCAGAGGTAAAGTGGGCCGGTAGATGTTGCTTGCACGTGAAAATGGGCATTTTGAGCGAAGAAGCGGTAAATATTTTTTTCAGGAGCTAGACGAATCTGACAATGACTCTGAGGATGATTTCTTATGTAATGAAGCAGAGGAAAATACTATACTGACAACCAACATTGCAACATACCGATTAATTAGATGTGTTCACCTCGCCAGCTATCGCGAGATTGAATTTTTCGTACTTTCAACAAGATATTCACTCCCAACGCCCTCTCACCATCACAACTGGGCATCACAGATGACCTCTCAGATGACTGAGTTGTTCTCCCGTTGATAGAGATACATAGATATTTTTGACAACGCCGTCGTTCTCAGAAGTTTTCTTTTATTCTCAGATCTGATAGCTCAGAGCAAATAGGCTATATTTTACTGTTAGGAGAATAATCTCAATCAAACCGTGTGCAGCGCATAAAATGTTAAATACTTAATCCAATATTATTATAAATGTTAGTATTTTTGAGAACAAAACTGATTACAATGGTCATAAATTTGAATGCAAAAAACTAATAATAATTTTTGAAATGACTTCGTTAAAATACTTAATAAATAATGAATCTATACTCACATGAAATTTTGTGCCTGTAAATGAAATAGTTTCTGAGAAAATGTTACTTTAACATTCGCGAAATAGGCTATTTTGGTTCCACTGTGCCCTTTAGTTCACATTGTACGAGATGTGTGAATTGTGGCTTGCGTAATGATTTTGTTTATAAATAACACTCCCTTCTATTCAAGGGTGTACCACATCCACAGTATCCGTTTCACCATTGTAAATCACCAAAATAACCTACACCACGTTTTGTTGAAAATACATTCTTCCCTTGTTAATGAGTTAAGCTCTAACACGAACATAAACATATACACCATACTCAATTGATACCTATATTACTATTGCCGGCAATGGGTACATTTGTGAGGCAATGTTTACACCGACAATGAGATGAATAATAGTATTATATATAATAATTATTATATTTATCGTAAGTTGGTAGTTCGCGTATATCCCTTTATAATTACAATCGAATGACATTTTACAAAACGGTGTAGGAAATATATCCTCATTAAATACATTTAAATCATTTTTCTACTTCACATAAGATTAGAGAGTTTTAAGGAAATCTAGAAAGAAAGTAAGAAAAAAATACGGATTTTCGGGCCACCTGGATTTATCACAGCGTCTGACAGGTTGAAAACATTGGATTCTAACTAGTGCCTGCGTACATACAACAAAGATAAGGATGTATGACTTTTATCCAGATAACCCCCTTTTTACGTACTTTACAACTGCATACATACAACAGAGAAAAATGTATTAGATTTATCCAGGTACCCCCTCTTTCCGTACTTGCCGACCGCACTAAATGATCTGCCAGCAGAACCGCCAGGTGGGTTCGAGTGGATGACGCGCGCTGTGCGGGTGTTGCGCAGCTGTTCGACCGGGTGCGCGCGCAGCGGCCCGAGGCGTTGGGACGCCTGCAGGCGGTGGAGTGCGACACGGCGCAGCCCAGCCTGGCGCTGGCGGAGGCGGACGCGCGCGTGCTGGCGGAGCGTGTGTCCGTGGTGTTCCACCTGGCGGCCAGCGTGCGCTTCGACGACCCGCTCATCACGGCCGTGCGCACCAACGCGTGCGCCACGCGCGACCTGCTGGAGCTCGCCACGCGCATGACCAAGCTCAAGGTACGCCCACCCACCGCTCATTCCGCTCACGAAGTGTGGACGCTCTTAGCTGCACCCGTAAAGAAAAGTATTGCAATGCTGTAGCTCAAAGTTGAGATGTTTTGTCACATTAACTATCATTGTGATGCCCTGATATCAAAACAGGGCACAACTTTTTCCTATAACATTCTATATATAGTCAGATTCCACGTTTTCTGAGACCATGATACCGAAAAATTGAATTATTTATCCATATGCCTTTACGTCAACCCTTCCCTCCGTCTGATCGTCTGTTCGTCCGTGCGTCTGTCTGTCCGTGGTCAACAGTAAGCACCTAAACTGTTCAAATGATTTTCCCCAAATTGGGATTCTCCGATCAATGTTCCCGAACGGCCCTGAGAAATTGAAACAAATATTTTTATTTTTTACATTTACCCGTAACCACAGTTACAAAACTTTCTCAAAAATTGCTCTACACTTTTTAACATAATGCTAAGTTTGCTTAAAGAAACTGCGCAGATATCATTTTCGTTGATCTCTCTGAATGTTTGAAAAATTGCAAAGTTCAAATATTTTTCGACGTTTTTCAGCTCAATTACGATATTACATACTACACCGTTTTGTGGTTGCTTGATACCGACAAATTGGTTTCGGACAAAATGTCTGTCTTTTTTGTGATCAATGCTAAACTCTAAACCGTTTAGCTCTTTTTCTCCAAAACTGATATTCCCTGACCCATCTGAACGAATTCGAGGCGAGTTTCAATTGGATAGTTTTGATTTTTGAGGGTACTTTGCATGAATTGCCCTTGCTTGAGCGGTGCGCTCCTGCTGGGGAACACCTGGTTGAGAAAAACCTCGTTAACCAACGTGTAGCTAAATGCCTGATCTCGCTATCCAGCGGGGGAAGTTTACCGCCACCCCTTGCGATATAAAAACTCTGCACTTTCGAGACTAATCCCCTTAGCAGTTGACGTCTGCAGAATCGCTAATCAATCATCCTTCTGTCGCAGGCGTTCGTGCACGTGTCGACCACCTTCTGCAACGAGAGGCAGCGCGAGTTCGAGGAGAAGCTGTACCCGGTGGCGGGCGACTGGCGCTCCATCCTGGCGCTGGTGGAGGCGCAGGGCCAGAGCGACCCAGTGGCCCTGCGCGCACTCACAACCAAGTGAGCACAGCCCTCAAGCACACGACGTGGTTCTTTCTCTAGTACTCAGTATAGGCCTATTGGAGAAACAATTACGCTGAACCAAACCACACAAAGTAGCACGCACAATGCTCAGCGACAACAAATAATATAGTGTCATATACAATTGCAACAAGTTAAATATTGTAACAAAAACAGTCTTCATAAAAACTGTAAAAACATAGTTGAAGTACCTACGGATAGACAGCACATCCATTCTTAGCATACCAAGGATATCAAAAAAGTTACTGATCCATAACGCAACATGGGAATAACAAATATTTAATGGTTTAATTTAATTTAATGATTCCTCCTTAGAGCATTGCTATCGCATGTAGACAGCTGTGTCGTTAAGTAGAGACGCAATTAATTTCATTCGGAAAGAGTAGAATGAGAATAGGCGGAATCGCGCAATCGAATATTTGCATTTTTAAGGAAAATTAAAACTGTTTTCTTATTTTCCTTTCGCATGTACTACTTTCCTGATACGGAGCATAGAGAATGTTCTGCAGTGCAGAATCTACTTCGAGATTTTAACGGAAGTACACATTTGGGGTCCCTTAATATCGAAACCATATTATTTTTTTCAATACGTGTGTACATCTCTCTGTCCGTCCATCGTTAAACAACACCAGCTCATAAACTCTTCACTGGCTTTTTCCAAAATGAATATTCGACGATTGATCTGTACCGACTCATGGGCCTGAATTTCGAAACGTATTCTATGGCTTGGGGGGGGGGGACTTTACGTGAAGCTCTTGGACAGTTTCAAATTTTATCAAAAACACTTCACATTTTGTTTTTAATTTTTTTTGCTAGAACAGAGGACAATACACCTATAAAGATGGCATAGATCCAATTTTAATTTGTAAGCCGAAAATTTTTGAAATTTTCAATGCTTTCAATTTTTTGGTTATGTTTCTACAACTTCAATATGGGAGAGAGCATTTATTTTTAATTGATATTTGTTCTCCACAATTACTTGTTAAAACACTGTCACATTTATTGTTTTGAGAATATTAGTAGTTTTGCGCAATTTTGGGCGAAATATGGGCTGTATTAAAAATATTAAAAACAAGATTTTCTAAAGAAGTTCCAATTTTTTCTTCAAACTCTTTGCATGGATTGTGCTAAATCCACTGCATAAATAACATACACATTATTTTGCTGTATCTTTGTTTTCTTCAAAAATCACACAAATGATTTTTTTTTCATTTGTCTCGTCGTTAACATTAGCGGTAACTCATATTCTTATTGCATTTGTGAGTGCAAATCCTCCAAATGATGTCTCATTACGTTTTGTCGAAAAGAAAACACTCCTGCGAAAATGAGCACAAAATGAGCCCTAACGACATTTTCTCAACAAAAAAACACACAGTTCCACTTTCTTTCTAAATTTCTTTCCACGGATAGTACAGTTTGATGTTTGGGAGGTACTGTTCATGAAGCCTCAACAACCGTAAAGAACTCTTAAATAATGGCATGGGTCCTATTTTCGTTAAAATCTCAAATTATTCAAAAATATTTCGGCCATCTCCTACAACTACAATATTTTTTCATGTCATCCAGCAATATGTTATAAAATAACGTACATGTTTTATATGTGAATTTCATATAGTGAGTTATCGAGAGCTGATGAAAGTGATTCCACGGTGTGTTGTAATTTTAACAATAATAAATATAACATCGTCTCCTATATTATTCCAGTAGTGTAATTCCTTTTTCGTATTTCACACGCAACCGATCTTTAAAATGAGGTCTCTTCAAGAAATATAATTATACGGAGACGTGGCGAATTGCACTTTGTCTTTAAAGATATGACGGATTTGTTTAAAAGGCACACAAATATTCATACCAAACGCAACCCGCAGCACTCAGTCAGCTATATCGTCAAATAACGCCTAAATGAAGCGTTCTATAGCCTTAAAAATAAAACTTGGAGGCAAAGGCCTCAAAGAAATATTCATCACATTGTAATTTACAAGATGAGATAACCTAGGACATTCTATTAACTTTTTGCTGATACATCACTCATCGATACTACCAATGCCTCCTATATTTAAACCGTCGGTGACGGTGGCCATCTGTGTGACGTCACATTTAGAGGGCTTATATTCCTCTATCTTATACTATTTACGCTTTCTGGGTATCGGGTATCCAGAAAGTTTCTGGGTACACTGGAACCGTGGTTTGTATTTTTGTACAGAAAACTTAACTTGGCTTTCTCAAGAGTAAAAAAAAATTATAATATTTTTGTGACAATCAAGGAAAGCGAAAAGCTAACTGTCAAGGAACTTCTGATGTTTTTAAGAAGAACGAACTGTTCGAAGAACATATCTCTATAATATTGAATATATTCTGCGAGTACGACGTTACATTTATATTTTTTTATCAAATAAACACGTTTCATTAACATTCTTCCTTCTTAATGGACAGTGGAAAGGTGGTGATCCGCCAAAAAGTAAAATAATTTTCATTTTTAAGAATGAAGTATAATGTATTATTTAACGACTGTGTAGAATAATTCTAAAAGACTAAATATTCCCATAACAGATATTGTATTTCAGCTTCTGGGTAAATGACTCCCATCTGGATCAGGTTTATTATCCTATTTCACTTGATCCAGTGAGCAAATGCTGATATGATCACATGCTTTGTATTTGGACATAAACATTGCTTCATTATGGGCACATTTTGTTGAGCTATCCTTTACTAATTGTGAAAGGACTTGAGTAGAGTGTTTGGGTTGCTAGCAGTTTTATAGAATTAAATCTGTAGTCCGTTTACGATACAAATACGTTATCTGTTACTCTGTTAGGGTAAACTTTTCCAATTTTTGATCGTTAGCAACCACAATTTGTTGATACTTTTCTTTATTCATCAAAATTTTATAGTAAAAAGGTGGGGTAGAGATATTGGAACTTAAAAACGTGTGAGAATTTTATACAATACTTTTGTTCCATACGTCACATACAGGTTCCTTGATGGAAACAAAATCAAATTTCAACGTTAGATAACATTAAATTTTTTAATAAACTTTCACCCACTTTCGTTTTGCAAATTTCATGGAAAATATAATAAAATTTGGCAGATTAATGAATCATTTGATTAGCCTGTAAAATGTTTATTAAGACTTAATTTGTTCTACACGTACTATATCTATAAGACGTTTCTTTATGATTTCAGGATCCTGGGTCCATACTGCAACACGTACACATTCTCAAAGAACCTGGCGGAGCACATCGTGGACCACTACTCGGACCGCCTGCCCGTGGGCATCGTACGCCCTTCAGTGGGTACGTGTTGTGTTTGCGGCCTCGGAGCTGCTCGAACTACCTGCCCTTTAACGTTCGTCTATGAACAACAATTCTTGAAACCGATTATCGGCGAGTTTTAGAGGTAGGCATAAAGTCCTTAAACTATTGGTGACGTCCCTAACGACGTAACGATCGTAAGGAAGAACGTTCAGAAGAGCTTTAGCAATTGCTACAGTGCTTGATCGATAATAAAAAAGGATTTCGAGTGTTTAGGGATTAAGCATCGCGGGGGCCCGGAAAGCGGTCTTCTTGAGGGGAAAATAGTAGAAGGGAATTTTAAGAGGTTTCAATTAGTGCAATTGTAGTGCGTAAAACGTGGACATGGATGGGATGAAGGCAGACGGCTGACGATAACGACACAGCAGAATAATATTGAATGGAAATTGAACATGATATCGGCCACGCATGCAGATTAGCGCAGAATATTAGAAAATATATTTTGTAAAATGTAGAAAGATGAAATTTTGTAATATAATGGACGGCGGTGGCGATGATGTAACAGCGTATCGGACTGTTATACTCACCAAGTTGGCGGATCGAAGCCGCGGATTTTTAAGGGCGAAAAACTCTTTCGTACGCCTTCCTTTGTAGGAGAAATAAAGCCCGCTGTCCCATGTTAGTACATTTCCTTGCATGTAAAAGATCCTCAAGCCTAAATGACGCCTCTGAGCTAAATTCAAATCGCCTGTTTCGTCGCTCCTTTCTTCGCTAGTGGGTGAAAGGAGCGTAGCAAAACTAGCGTGGTCAGACGGCATGATAGCCCGAGTCTCGCCACATAAAATAAGGCATCAATTCAATTCAATATTAAAGATTATATGTTCAAGAATATGAAAAAAGGGAAAATTACATAGGACCAAGACGCACAAATACAAATGTGAACGAGTGCTCATTTGCTAAAATATGTGAATGAGAATTTAATTCGTCGTTTGTAAATTGTTCATAATAATAATAATAATAATAATAATAATAATAATAATAATAATAATAATAATAATAATACATCTCAACGGCATCCTCGAAGAACAAGAAGAAAAGACGATTAAGGAAGATGGTGGAAGAGGCACCTCAAACACTTAACCGCAGTGGGCGGCCGCAAACAACTTGTCTCCATGTTAGGGGCGGTTGCAGAGAGAAGTAAGTAGACAGAGAAGGATCATCATTCTTTGGACTTTCTGTAAGCCCAAGGAGGGTACAGGAGAGAAACTGGGTTGACACACCAGGACACAGATGAGAGTGGAGGCCCGAACCTTGCATTAGCCAGAAAAGGAGACTGCCTTCAGCAGTCAGTGAAATGCCGTAAGGTTTAGTAATGCCCACGGGGGTTCGGCGGGACGCTTGTTGGGCCCTGTGGGGGATGTCTCGAGGACACTGCAGGTCGCAGTAACAGATGACAGGTTAAGTGTGGTTGTGAAGTCGAATTTGCTTCCTACGAAACCCCACTTAAAACCAATGAGATGGATAGAACAAGAAATGTAATGAATCTTAAAGTGCCTTGTTGTACTAATGTCCCAATGTCCGAAACCTGCTCAGAAAGCGTGTTAAAGGCTCCTTGTCGACGTCTGCCCATCCCACGAATGTTAGTCCCAGAGACCCAGAGTCGGCAGTATTTCGAAGACATCCGCAGAGATGGACTCAGGATGTTTTAAAGGAGGTGATGTGGTGCTTTGACTTCGCATAAGCAAAAAATGGAGGATCATAAATAAAAGTTTGATAGATTCATAAATTCATAGGTTCATAAATAGAACAAAAATTGTCCATGTTCAAATTAAATTTCATTCACTTTTCTGGTAGTATTAAATGATTTAACACTCCCTTTCTTTCTTTCTTTCAGTTCTTAATATGTTAAATATTTTTTTGTAAAAATTCTTAGTTATTAGTAATCTTTTTATAATAATTTTGTGGTCAAATCAAAAAATATTCAAGTTTTAATCTTATTTTTCTTGTACTAGGAAAGTGATAATGATGGCTAAGCCATCGAAAGATGCTATTGTAATAAACAATATTGTTGGCAATGCCGACTCATGTAATTATTTAATTGTAAATGCCTACGCAAACTGACTACAATACCAATATACCAATTATTCTTACAGCTTACCCAATGCTGGTACAATTATATTGTTGATTCGCCCATTACTACTCTGCCCATTACCACGTAGCACTCCAGTAGTAGGGACGAATTCAATTCCCTCTTTTATGTAGTACTTCTAAAATGGTTTAGAAGTGAAAGCTGATCCTCGGTCACTGATTATTCTGTGAAGATTGCCAAGCATTTCGGGTTGGGAGATCCTGGGATTCGTGACCTACGGTGGTGGAATATCAACACTAGCCATAAAGCCATGTCCAATTCATCCGCTGTCTGAGGGAACATTCTAGCCGTCAGCTGGTCAGACTGTAGTTTTATGCGATTTTTACTATCAATATTATGAGGTAAATGACGCAACAGTAACAAACTAACAAACAGACCACGGACCAATTTTTCTCTACCTCTTCCTTGTTCTATCTTCTCCTTTTACACGCACTTACATGCTGCTGCACACTACCACACATGTCGGGGATCAGTTGGGACCTTAGAGGTCGCCTGGGTCCCCGCTGGGGGCGATACCAGAGGATGGAAATCCCCTACATGCCTGGTGGAATGTCGGCGGTTCTTCTAGCGTTCCAGTTGAGAGGAAAACCACCTTCTTCCGAGATAGAATAAGCACTACTCTAACGGGACAAATGGCATCTGACGTCTCCGGAAATAATTAATAAGAGGTCTTGTATCTTTCTTATTGTGTTGTTATTGTTGCAGTGGTAGCTACCGCCCGTGACCCGTTCCCCGGTTGGATCGACAACTTCAACGGCCCCATGGGTTTGATGGTGAGCGCTGGGAAGGGCGTGTTGCACACGGGCTACAGCGACCCCGACTGCTACATTGACTACGCTCCCTGCGACATCGTCGTCAAGGGAATTGTCTTGTGCAGCTGTGAGGTCGCCAGGAAGGGGTGAGATTCCTTAGAATACCCAAGGTGTTATTCGTCGCGTACTACGTACGCAGTATGCAGAAAGTATTCTAAAGCAACTGCAAAACGGCGATTTTCGACAGAATAACTCTTATTGCGGGTCTCTCTTATCACAAAAGGGAATAAATCCAGTTCCTCTTCCTATATAAATAATAAATTCCTTACTCGAACCCCATGTGTGGACACAATCCACGTTTTGTGGTGCTTGATAGCGAAAAATCGTATAACGGTAAAACGTCTGTCCCCATCCGTCCGTCCGTCTGAGGTTAGCACTAGCACTGACACTGGTCAGAAAAATTCTCTGAAATTTATATTCTCCGATAGATCTGAACGAATTCGAGGCACTTGGAATTTGAAACGGATATTTGATTTGGGGGAATTCTTTACATTAAGCCTCAAAATTTTTCAATATTTTCTCAAAAATTGCTCAATTTTTTTATTAACCTTTGCCTCGAATAGCGTAGATTACTTACAAATGGCTTAAAATTTTGGATGAAATGTCTTTATTCCTTATTTTGCAAAAGTCAATTTTTTCTCGTAATAGATCGTATAAATATCCTTCTCCTCAAACATATGTTTAATATATTTGTAAATCATTCTTGTAATATTGATAGGTCGCTAATACGAGTAGGAATTTGTAAATTAAAATACAGGTAAACGTAAGAAGAGCTCCAGATGTAAAAACATAACAGTCATTGACGTCATTGTCAACGCCAAGATTGCTGTAAATTCTTCAAAAGGGAAATTAAGGATAAGTGACAGGAAGACATTAATTACAATATCATAGCAAGGTCAAGTGATGTTTAGGTATACTTTAACATTAACATTAAGATTGTGAAAGAATTGTTATGTGTATTTTGTTTGTAGAAATTCGATTGCCATCAAACAGAATCAATATAGGAATATAAAAAAACGTTGTTGAACTGTAAAACTAATTAAAAAGGAATTTGAAATAAATTAATTGTGGCAGCCGACACTTAATGCCGCTGGAAACTCATAAACAAAATTTTTAAATTGTTTAATTTATCAGTAAAAGTAGTGACAAACATTTACTAACGATTTTTAAAGTATTCACCGCTCGAATTCTCTTATGAGCGGTATTTTCTGGCCTACGAAAACAAGAGCAGTACCCTATGAAGCGTAAGTATGCTGACTTCCAGATATTAAATAAAAACCAGAGCTAGCCACTCCAGTAAATAAGAAAATATTTTAAAATTGTAAATATTGTAAAAGGAATTAAGATGTTCTTCAATATCAGGCCTAAAGGAGGCAGTCAAATACAGTAAATGTTTTAAAGTAAATTTTTAAAAGATGAAAAATATTGTTTTACTTCAATGTAAAATTAAAAATAGTGAAACTCTCCACTAGATAATCTTGCTGATGCTGGTATATGAACTGATAACAATATGAAATTACATGAATCGTGTATTATCAATTACAGGCTAGATTCGTCGGAAAGAATCAAAGTAATTTCTAATTCTTTGGGTGCCAATGCCAAATATATTACTACCCTTTTTATTCATTCTTTACTAATTCATGACAGGGTACCTAAACATAGTTTATTATAATATTTCTAATCCTCTTCATATTTATAATCAAACAGATTGTTAATAAGAATTTCCACGTTCAAAAAGGACTAAATTGGTTCTTTTGACTATTTAAATAGGGTGGTACATTTTGTTCTATTGACCTATAAAAAAAACAATAAAACTCTAATAATATAGTACAATATAATACCACATGTTTTTCTTTCTATTTATGTTCTAAGATATCTTCTCATTTTATACTTTTTTGTAGGATTTTATTAAAAAGTAGTTTTTTAAATTCGTTTTTATTCAAGTAATATAATGTTTACATGTATATGACTAGAGATCGAAATCAATCACAATATTTTGGCAACAAAAAAATTGTTTACCAAATTGAGAGTCTTCTTGCGAATGTTAAAAGAAGAAAAAAACTTTTTTTATTTTATATTGCAACACTACTGATACAAAGAACTATAACCAAAGTGGCCACCAAAAGAAACACAAATTTAAAAAAGTAGAAACATACTTTATCTTTTAGATTTGGGAATGGCGAAAAAAAAATAATTTGCCTATCATAGACTGCTTTGATCTACAATATGGTTCCACACAGAAATAGTAAAAGAACAAAGAAAAAAATTCAAATGAACTTTTATCATTTACATCTGCATTACAGCCATGCTTTTTACTTCATCGCACTCACTAATGTAAGAAGAGAAAGTATTATAATCATGCAAAACGGCGAATTTTCGACACCAAAACTTATATTGACGGGCCCTGGTAAGGAAAAAGTGCATAAACCTACTAACCCATAACTAAAGATAGAAACAAATCCTCTAACACGTGGTGTACTCAGAATCCATTTTTTGGGGTTCTTGATAACGAAAAATCGATTGACGGCAAAGCGTCTGTCTATCTTCACACAACTCTAGCGCATAAACCATTTTGCCAATTTTTCCCCAGAATTGATATTCCCCAATCGTTTTAGCTGATGTCGCAAACCCTAGAATTTGAAACTAAAAATTTTAATTTGAGAGGTACTTAACATGAAGCCCCTGGGACTTTTTCACAATTTTCATAAAATAGCTCTAATTTTTTTAATTAAATTTTGTTATTGAATAGTACAAAGAATGTTTAAGAGAATGCAGAACTCATTTTCGTTTATATCCCCGATTTTTCGAAATTTGGAGATAGAGATTTTTGTCTCCGACAAAGTCTATTGTATAAAATTAGTTCTTCAAAAGAAGCCATGTCCATTTTTTTGAAAAAGGATTAGTTTTAAGTATTTTGCGATTGAAATTTACAAACAGATACAATTCTCAAAAACCGCTCCAATTTTTTTTAAATTTTTGTTCACTCTTGTATTAAGATATGATAAAAAATAAGGTGTTAATCATATTTTCGGGTATGGTTCGTTTTTTTGAAAATTTCAAAAACAAACATTTTAAAACTACAAAATTGAAGATAGATATTTTTCCCTCAGACAAAGCCTGTTGTATAAAATTAGTTGATTAAAAAAAGGTCATGAACAATTTTTTGTAAAAATCAGTAGTTTGGGGGTAATTTTCAATTGAAATTTACAAAAAAATGCTTAAACACCGCTCCAATTTTTTTTAAATTTTCTTTACGTATGTAATAAAGAACTTTAAGAAATGCGGCGCTAGTCTCATTTTCGAGTTTTGCTTGTTTTTTTCGAAGATTGCCAAAACATTCCTAACTACAAAATTAAAGATAAGAGATTTTTGCCTTAGACGAAGTATGTTGTACAAAATAAGCTCATTTAAAAAGGTCATGTACAATTTTTTTAAAAGGACAAGTAGTTTTTGCGGAAATTATGCTTAGAATTAATGAAATATATATACATACGTGTATATATGTATATTTGTTATATATATATAGTATATATATATATATATATATATATATATATAGTATATATATATAGAGAGAGAGAGAGAGAGAGAGAGAGAGATTTCACACCAAACTAAGGCACAGAGAAAAATTGAATGAATGATACGAACAATGTGGAGGTGGGAAGGCCAGTGACCCAGACAGGCCCTAGCCTAGACAGCTGGATGGAAGCAAAGGCCGGTCGGTAACAGTTAATGATTTTAACAGGTTGAGACAGTTCTCGTATCGGCAACAGTTAATGATTTTAACAGGCATGGTAGGAACTCTTCTCACAAGAGCATGTGCGGCGGCCACGACATTTTAACGCTCGGCGATAAATGTATACATCGTATATCTATTATATATATATATATATATATATATATATATATATATATATATATTCAATCTAACACCAACTCCACCTTGCTGCTGTGGCCAATTTATAGCGCTCGGCGATAAATTTCAAAGTCCTTAGGCCGCACGAGCGCCATTGTTGCGTTCGACAGCCCGATCCCAAGCCTGACACGCTGTAACGCAACCTGTGCGATCAGCGATCCAATCTTTTCTACTGATCTCGCATTGCCTCTGCCTTTTCGTTCTGAAGAATGTATTGTATTTGGGCCAACGAATTGCGTTCAAAATTTATTTTTAACCATTTCCCGAACAGGTTTCATAATTTTCTGAAGTGGAATTTTTCAATTGGTGCTGCGACAATGTGTTGATCTTAGCCGGCTCACGGCGTATTAGCGGGAACCAACTGCACGTGTGGGTTTGTAGCAGCTTGGTTAAATTTATGTTTATTAAAATTAGGAGTATTGCTTACGTTGCAGGAAATATTTCCTTACCGTGCACTTCCTACGCTATAAATCGCCTATGAACAGGGTGGTTGGGTAGGTAGGTGAATGTTTGGGTTGGGTTTTGCATGGGTGTAAACGAAGGTAGGGTCCCCGATAAAGACACACAAAAACATTCGCAGCCCTGCGTTGGCAGTAGGAATGGGCAATTATTACATAATAATCGATTAAAATTTAATCGATGATTTTTTATTACTTTAAGATGCATCGATTAATCGGTCCAAATTAATCGATTAATCTTATATGTTCGATGAATTCTTCACATGTTTTAAATAATGTGTAAAATTGTTAATTTTAATTTGTAAATTAATTAATCGTTTAGTAGCTTTCAAACGTTTTAATTAAGAGTTTAGTGGTTTTTTTAGAAGAACAGCATGATTTATTTTATAATATTTGTTTTTTCTTTATGTAAACCATATTCTTTTTACACACGTATTCATGAGAACCGACGACTGTAACTCAGTTTAAAATGGTCGTAGAATTTCAAGAAACAGTAACACCAAAAATTGTAAGCAACCGACATACTCGGTTGCGGGAACCTCGAGTAAACGTCATGAGGTTATGGTATGACCGGTACTTACCAGGAAAACTGTTAATTCGGTCTTTTTTTACTTTACACTAAATATTATACCATCACTAAAATATTCCCTCTCTTCGTCCGTCTGTCCGTGTGGGGTCAACCCTAGCGGCTAAACCGTTCAGCCAATTTTCTCCATTATTGATATTCTTTAATTGATCTGGTTGATGTCGCAGACCTTGGATTTTCAAACTCGATATTTTAATTTTGGAGAGGACTTTACATGAAGTCTCTCAGACATTCAAAATTTTAAAAAAACGCTCCAAATTATTTGATTAACATTTGTTGTTCATTAGTGCGAAAGAATAAATTTAAAACTAAAAAATTGATTATAAAAGATTTTGGCTCAGATAATGTCTGTTTTACAAAATAAGATTTTTAAAATGGTCATGTACATTTTTATACAAGTTGAAAGTTTTTGCGTAATTTGCGCTTGAAATTTACGATGAAATTTTCTCAAAAACTGCTCCGAAGTTTATTTTTACATTTTCTTCATGTATAATAAGGGATGGTAAGAAATTTAGTAGCGCTAGTCCTCTTTTCGGGTACTGCTCTTTTTTTCGAACTTTACAAAAATCAAATTCAAAACCACAAAATTGAAGATTGAGGTTTTTGTCTCAGATGAAATCTGTTTTCAGGTGAAATCCGCTCCAAATATTTTCTTTAAAATTTCTCTACAAATGTAATAAAGTACGGTAAGAAATATTGCGCTCGTCTCATTTTCAGGTATGGCTCGGTGGTTACGAAAATTGCACAACATTTTCAAAACTACAAAATTGAGGGTGGTTTCCTAAGAAAAAGTATGTTGTGGTAATCTAACTATTTAAATAAAAAAATAGTAAATAACTAACTAGCATAAATTAGTTACGACGTCGAGTAATGACTACCCAGCTGCAATCTTTTTCTTCCCAAAGAACCTTTATTTTACATTTTGTTAATTTTTACCGCTGCCTAATACTGCAACTGAAACACGAAGCCCTTATGACTATTAGAGGTGTGCCTAATCCTTGTACGACCCCGATTGCAGAAGTTGGTTTAATGATGTGTATTGTCTTAGTCGACGTGTTCGAGCATCGCTCGGGGATAATTATAACACCTGAACGGACGGGTTTGTTCAGCGGCATCAAATGCTTCAAATGACCATTTTTATACCTCTTGACCAACAGACAAAGTGGAGTCTTTTTTGAGAAAATAATTGATAAGGAATTGCTTATATTTCACGCAAACACGTGAAAGTTACTCACATTTTCTGAAAATTGTACTTGACCATATTTCAAGGTCTGTCTTCGAATAAGAATTTCTTAAGAAAAATCTCTATTTTCAGTATTGTGTTTGTAGAAATTGGCCGAAAAATTGTTCTCGAAAAATCAGGAACTTCAATGAAAATGAGATCTGCACCGTTCTTTCAATAGTTTGATATCCAAAGACAATATTTCACAAACAATTGAAGCCATTTTTGAGAAAATTTCGAAAATGTTGTTGAGTCTTCATGCAAAGTACTCCAAAAATTCGTCATATCTGTTTCAAACTCGCAGGGTTAGGAACAGATATGACGAATTTTGGAACTCACGAGTTCCTTCAGATCGATGAGGAATATCAATTTTCAAGAAAACCGTCTGAACGTTTTTGAGCACTAACGTAGACTCAGACGGAAAGAAGGACAAAACAATGCCGCCCTACAATGTTCTGTTTATTTCATGTGATCGCTGAAATAAGAAACTTTTTGAATGTATGGTTATACTTGTACGGAGTTTAGTAACTCTCTGGGCTAAAAGTATATTTCTCTCTGATATGTATTTCAAATGTTGTTTTGTTTTATGAAGAGATTTAAATACATATTCTAATTTTTGCCGCACTGATTCAATGCACTTCTCGAACCAGGATCACTACGGCACTGTTCAGAAAGTATATATAACCGACGTCACGCATTTCGTCTACTAATGTCTACTGCAAAAACTATCTCTCTTGGTATTAATTTGTTAAAAAATATCCGTACTGATACACCAAATTATCACAGAAGTCAAGAGAACGATCTGCTTTCGATATAACTAACCCCCAACTGATTCGTACTATGCATATGCCACTTTACGCGACCTACGAATTGCCACTCTGCATTCTGCGATCTGCTTTCTGGGAAAGGAAGGGGCGGCAATCGCTCTGCTTCATGAGTGCAGGATGTCGGCGGCGCCAAGGGCTCCCCTTCGCACGGAAACTCGTGGCCTGAGTGAATAGAAAGAAATATCCCTTGCCGCGACGAGTGTTAGGGATGTACGAGGGTTGCCTTTTTTATTTCAGGATTAGAGAACAATAACAAATATTAATCATCGAAAATCACTTTATTGGTTTTCAAAATAGTCCCCATGAAGATCTATACACTTTTGCATGCGTTTGAACCAATTGTCGAAGCACTTATGCCACTGTTTGAGGTATCTTCAAAACATGCATTCTGAATGCAGCAACCGCTTCATAAGGTGTCGAAAAATGTTGACCTCTCAGTTTGTTTTTTACGTACGGGAATAAAAAGAAGTCATTCGGTGCCAAGTCAGCACTATACGGCGGATGACTCATCAAATCGATGTTTTGGGTGCTCAAAATGCCGTTGTTTGAGCCGATGTGTGAGAGCTCGCATTCTCGTGGTGAAGAGTCATCCGTCTTCGGCGGTTGGTTTTCCTGATTTCTTGGAAGACAGCTGGCAAACAAATCGTTGTGTACCACTCAGAATTGACTTTTCTGCGTTTTCTAGTGGTACGGTTGCGACATGTCCAGTTTTTCCGAAAAAACAGGCGACCATCTGTTTGGAAGAGCTTCTTGCGCGAACAACTTTTGTTGGATTTAAATCGTCTTGAAACACCCATACAGTCGACTGCTGTTTACTTTCGGGTTCATACGCCTAAATCCACGATTCATCACCTGCCACTATATCATAGACGAGTTTCAAAGCACCGCGATCGTATTTTTTGAGCATCTGTTTCGACCAATTGACACGGGCCTTTTTTGAGCGATTGACAAATTGTGTGGGATCAAACGCGAAAAAATTGGTTTGACAGTCAAATGTTCATGCAATATTGAATGTATGCAGGTCCCAAGAATGCCTAAGGTTGTGTCAATCTCACGATAGGTCACATGACGATCTTGCAATATCAGTTCACGCACAGCATCAATGGTTTTCGGAACAACACTGATTTTGGACGACCTTCGCGAAATTCGTCTTGGAGTGAACTACAACCACGATCAAATTCACCATCCCATCGATAAACACTGGTCCTTGATGGAGCTTCATCGCCAAAAATTGAATGAAGTTCATCCATGCACAGTTACTGAGTTAATCCACGTCGAAAGTTGTAAAAAATAATCGCACGAAAATGTTCACGATTTAATTCCATTTTTGGACCAAAATGAATCTTTTAAGATACTGTAAACAACACAAATAGCGCTTGTATGTCAAAACGTTCTGAGTACGTATAACCTCAAACATCCAACTTTTCGATAGAGCTGTCAGTTACCAGATTGCAACACCAGGGTTGCCAACTCCCGAAACATAAAAGGCAACCTTCGTACGTCGATGCTAAAGGTGCCACAGGAGCTTACTGGTAAAGGACCTTCCAGGTTCAATTAATCCTTAATAAATAAGTAAAGTAAATCATTATATATTACAAATAACAGACAGTATGATAGTACAAAATGCATTTTATATAATCAATGAAACAAGGATTAAAGTAAATCAAATCTAAAGATCACTTCTAATAAATCACCGGGACGCCCTACCATATACACCCCTGGGAACCCCGACACACAGTTTTAAAACCCCTGTACTATACTATCACGTTTATAATAAGACCACTTGCCACAGCAGGAGAGGTATCTCGCCAATGTGAGATACCTAATTGGGGAAAACCCCGGCAGCTGACGTGTAGTAGGGCTCTGGACGTCACCATCCAGCGGAGAAAGATCCCCGTACAGTCCGAGGAAAAAATATGCACTACATTCACTAGACTATGACCACAAGAGTTGCCACCTCAGCAAACACGCAATAATAAATTCATGACGCCTGCGGTCAACTGCGCTCTGAGAGAAGGGTGTGCGGTGTGTGGCTGCGCAGGCTGGGGCCGCCGCTCGTCTACCACGCTGCGCGCGTGGGGGTACATAGCATCAGCCTGGGCCGCATCATCGCCATCGGGATCGAGGCTAGTGTCGAGCTGCCATTCTCGGACACTCTGTACCACCCATGCGGCGATATTACCGGCAACTACCTGCTCTTCCTCGCGCAGTTCTTCTTCTTCCATCTGGTGCCAGCGGTGATCGGGGACGCTCTGCTCTGCGCCGCCGGCCGCAAACCCATGTGAGTGCAGCACTGGTTAATTATCAGCGCCGGATGCAAGCGTCGGCCTGTGTGAGCACTCACGGACGGACCTGGCGCCGTCGCCCGCACAGCCTTTGCCACCACCGTCGTCGGGGCGGCTTTCCGCGAGGGTGTGAGAACCCGTGACCCGTCACGCCCCGGACGTATCCCGACTGCATCCCGCGGTCAAATTTTCCCCACGCCATTTCCTACTTCCCCAAAACGCTTAATATTACATTGACTGACTATAATTGATCCACTTCTATCGACTGTGGAGAGTGTTCGAGAAACATTTGCACGTTCTTTTAGAGCATCGTGAATGTTGAAAACCTTGCTTACTCCTCTGACTTCACATGGTGGCGTGAGAACATGAATTTGACCCTCTTGTTAATAGAAACGTAACAAAAATGTTTACTCCTTCCGAAACACCTCGGAACGAAACGCGTATGTCTTCTCAGGTAACAAAAACTGAAAGAGGACTACCTACTTAGGTGGCTTATCACATCAACTGACGTCACTGCATTGTCTCTGGCTGAGAGATTCTAGGCTTCGAGTTCCGAACAAGGGCGGGATATTCGACACTAGGTAGATAGCTGGGTGTAATTCAGCCACTGTCTGGAGGAGAATCCTAGCGACTGGCGGATCTGATCGGTAATTTCCATGGTTTCTTCCATCAACACCAGGCGGAGGTGACGGAGCAGGCACATAATGTCAGAGCAATACCCTAACAAATGAACCGCGCCCGAACTTTCCATCGTCCTTCTTGTCCTATCCTCATCCCTTTCGTACTCACAGTTACACATACATGCACTACATTACCACACTTTCGGGAGACCGGACGTGCGTTGAGAGCTTGTCCCGGCTTCGGCGGTATCTCGCTAGTGGGAGATACTTGTTAGGTGAAACCCCCGAAAGCCGACGAATTGGTCGGCGCCGGAGAACGCCATACAGCGGGTGAAGTTCACCGCCACCTCCCGCGATGAAATCATGCTCTACACTTACGGGACCATCAACCTCAACCGTTGAAGCGCACGGAATAACTAATAAGTCAATCTATCAATCAACTAATCTGAAAGCGGATTAGCTGGGACGTGGGGGTGTAGGAAAACTGACCGCGAGAAGCAGTCGGGCGATTTCGTGCACCCTCTCATTCTCTTCAATTTCTTAATCCTCTTTCTATTACTCTTCTTGATTCTATTTCGATAAAGCTCTCTCCCAAGTTGATGAAATTTCAGCGTACTTGTATGCTCAAGACAGCGTGTCAAAAATATGTGAGTATGCTATAATGCCATTTTCAGAAAAGCTCAAACGCAATTTTGTGTAAACCACACTATTTTTTGTTTAAACTTTTACGCATAGTGCAAAATGCCCTGTTTATAATAGCATAAAATTCATTTTGCTGTATTCTTTTTTCCCAAAAATTGCGCAAATGTATTTTTTAAAATATCTTTCACATCTATAATAAACACATTTCCAACATTTTGTATCACTATTGCATATGTGAGTCGAAGTGTTTCAAATGATATCCTCTCAATTTTTTCAAAATATTTCTCAGAAAAAAGATCTTAAAATTTCTCATTTACGGTAACACTTTAACATCATTCACCTGCAAAATTGATAAACATTTTAAAAAACTGCATGTTGGGTGGCGATAGATGGCAGCTGGCAAGACCGCAAAGTTAGACCAGACCAAAGAAATTAGAAAACTTAACTAGTCTGTAGTTCTGTAGCACCACCAGTTATTAAGGTGAGTTCCGTATAGTGATTTGTGTACACTAATGTTATGTTTCCAACAATTGTTTAAAATATGTTGTGTTAATAATGTGTATGTTATAATGTGTAATAACCATGTTATGTTAATTCCAACAATTGTTTAAAATATTTGTGTTGTTGTTTTTGGCATTTTTTCTCCTGCCAGAAGATAGAAATAATCATTTCGGAAACGTTGCAAGTTATGTATTTCATATTTTAGTATATTCCAATAACAAAAAACATTTCGTCAATAAAATACAGAAAACAGAATAATGCATTATTCGAATGTTTTTCATGTAACTACACGGATGTTTCTCTGCTGCAGTTGCTATTTATTTATCTCTTTTTTACCTCGAGTGCGTGATTGTGGGAAGTATCGGGTCCCAGCAGTGACAAGAGGGGAGAAAGAGGGCAATAGATGCACAGAAGTGAATAGTTTTGTAGCACAAGGTTTTATTCGGGCGATAAGGTAATTGGGTCGAAAAGAGTCCCTGAGAAGAGAACTAGGAGATGTGGGCTGAGAACAATATTGGGCAGGACACTGCTGAGGTTGTGAAAGAATTTGTTTGGCAAGCTCGCTATTGAGTATATGTTTTCTGACAAGGTGTAGGTGAAAATCATAACGAGTGAAGTGTTTTTCACAGAGAAAGTTACGCTCAGAAAATTTAATATGAGAGCCTCTGAGGCCAGTTTCAATTGGTTATTTACGAGTCTAATTTATTTGCACAGCGTTGGTTTTATTATACCAGAAGGGTTGAGTCGAGACTATAATGTTCGTGTTTTGGGAGACACGTAGTTTCTTAACATGTTGCTTAGGTAATACCAATCAAATTGATGTCATTCTGCCTACCTATGATGATGATGATGATGACTGTACTCCGTTTGGGGAGAGGTTTTGTGTGGGTGTCCAAATCACTGGTCACGTCGGCAAACCGCCCATTAGGTTTGAACACACGATACAGAAAGATTTAACACGGTTTCCCATTTAACAGGGAGGATATTTGTCGCCAATGGCTATCTGCTAAAATTGGTACCTTTTTGATGGGCTCAGTGGGAATGCCCTTGTCTACTTATGAGCCAGGTTGCACAACTCGACGACCTTTTGTTTCCTTGTGGTTTCTAGCCAGTTTGCGTTGGTTTGTCACGTCTGATGGACGTGTCGATGATGGGAGGGGGTAGTGAGAATGGGAAAAACAAGGAAACTCATTAAAGCACAGATTTTCTCCTTTTAGTTAGTTCTCTTATCTATTTACTCTTAGCTAATTGTTTGGATTTCCCCCCACCATTTTCCTATCTATTGCTGCCTAAAGGACATTTTTTCGTTGTGCCAGTTCATTGGTTACCTAATCGAAGAACTTAAATACGTCTGGTTTAAATAATATTATAGAAGAAAAAAAACCTGATGCTATACCCATTTTGTGTTGAAATATTTGGAGTCGTTTTTGAAAAAAAATATTACGTTTGAGCGTTGCTGAAAAAGCGGAATCTTCTGCTGATTCTTACAAAAAATACTCAGTTTTCAGTAAACTTGATTTGAAATCATATGAAGTACTTTTAATTCACACGTGAAATAATGTAAAATATTTTATAATACGTCCATAATACAAATATTAACGACTGAATATTAATTTTAATAAAATTGCGTGATATTAAAAAATCAAAAGTATAAATGAAAAGGGCGTTTATGTCATTTTCTAGCTGTAAACATTACCTCTCTTGCAATTATTATTTATGTGCCTCGAGTACTCTGGTTTTATCGGTCTTGATGGAAGTGAATTGTTCCATTATCCAAGAGAAGTTGGGAGGATTTCTAACTCGGGAGTCGAGTATATTGCGTGTTCCTTCATCCGCCTGGGGTTCTTCATAAGGTACATCCTGTTGCATACGAGATGGTGCCTAATGGCTTCTAATCTAAGGGCGTGTATATTCCAACGATCGCAGTGACGGTGCCCACTGTGTCGCAGGTTGATTCGCCTGCAGCGCCGAATTTACTCGGCCTTCATGGCGCTTTCGTTTTTCCTCCTGCAAAACTGGGACTTCGCGAACAGCCGCTTCCTGGGTCTGGAGAAGAGGCTGCGGCCAGAGGACCGCGAGGGATTCAGCTACCAATTGGAGAGCTTCGTGCCTGAGGCCTTCGTCAGGGACGCGCTGCACGGCACGCGCCGCTACCTCATGAAGGAACCCGACAGCAATCTGCCACAAGCCATTCAAGCTTATAAGAGGTATGCTTTGAAGTCATGGAGTAAAGGAATGATCGAATGAAAGGGATGATGATGAATGAAAAGAAAAATGGTGACGAATGATATGAATGAATAATTGAAATGAATAATGGTAACTATCGCTCCCCTAAGGGCCATTCCCAATTAACTTCCTCGTGCTTCACCTAGGCCCGTGTTAGTAGTTGCGCCATTGCGCTGAGTATCCTCAAAACACGCACAAGCAGATTTCTCCCAGGTCTCCCACACTAAAGGCAGGGACGGATTTACGCATGGGCACAGGAGACCGATGCCTACGGCAGCAAAATTGTAGAGACAGCAACAAGTATGTAGTAAAATAAGTATGGAGCCTCTTTTCTTAACGTCCGATTTTTCCTTGTTTAAAATTTGCATTTCATACGTTTTTGAACAAATTTAATAACTTCTCGCAAATTAATTTATTAACAGGCTGAAGGCTCTTTCAAATATCTGACTTGTGAAAAGTATAATGAGCCAGTTTAAATTTTCAGAAGTCTTACAATTAAAATATAATTACAATACCACAAAAGAAGTTCTTATGTTATATCGATGCATCGTCGTCGTACGACCACCGCCACTCTTCTGCGCGTGTTTCTCGCGTATTAGACTTTCGTGGAATTAAAACATAGTTCGTGCGCTTCTAGATTAGAATGACCGATCGAGGTCAGCAGGGTGTTTTCCGCCCTCGGGATTGGCAGGAAGTCGACCAAGCATTACAAACACTGGGATAAGTTTACGTAAGAGTATCTGTATTGTCGAATTAGCCAGAGGGGCGCGGTCGGATCAGTTCCACTGAAGCAGTGACACAGTGCAAGTAATATCATTTCTGTGGTGTGTCAGTGCCCGTACGCGTTTTTGTGTGTGTGTGTGTGTGTGTAGGAGATTGACAAATATTAATTGAAGATGGCAGGTACAAAGACGATACGCTTTGATTCATGCTTCAATCCTTTCAATCTCGAAAATCAGTGCATAGATTCAACAAACATTGGAACATTACGTTCGGAAGTTTGGGAAGCGCAAACTTTAACGCGTGTAACACAAAGTATCCTTCAAACGTTAAGCATGCAATATACACAAATTACGCCACACTTGAAAATATGTAACAGATGCAAATGGAAAACTTCAAAATTGATGATAAATGAATGTAACATTTCTAAAGAAAGAGTTGGAATATTTTGCGTCAAAACTCCTACAATTACAGGGCATTCAGAAGATACTAATTCCGAATTGAACATTGAAATAAGAGATGATTTAGATTTATTTAGTCAAAAAACAGTAAAAACTGTATGTTACGTATGGGGAGAAAATTATATGCGCACGTTTTCTTGGGTTCCAGAACCCCTTCCCCTCATTTTAACTATAAATAGTTCAACAATGAGTAAAAGATAGAGAAAAATAAAAATAAAATTTAAAAAAACGCGAGATTAGCAATATTTGAAAAACGACATTTTTGTCCCCGAGTTATAGAAAACTTATTTGCAACGGTAAACGAATTGCAGATATGATTTGTCTGCATTTCTAACAAAATAGTAATTCAACATTACCTTTACTCCTACCTCAACAAGCAAAAGGAGAATTCAACAAAACGTGCTTTACGCAAACGTGAAGCTACATTTACGTCCAGAAAAAAAGCAAGGGGCCATCTCTGCATTTGCTCAATGGGTCGGAGAAACTGGACAAAAACCTGATCGAGATGGGGTCATTGACCCTGAAGCTGAAGTACATTATTTATTAAAAACGTATTAAGTATTTTTTAATATACAATAAAAATATAAACTAATTCATTATATATCACTCTTTTGTTAAAATAAACATTCTTTTTCTTTTTCATGATCGGTACAGACTCTAATTGTATAGAAACAGTTATGCAGCAGAAAAGATTTTACTTTTAACTTCAATTGTTTCCGACTTCAATTGTTTAATGTCATCTGGCATTGCGTTGTAAAGTAAAGCATATGTATTGCATGTGAATTTCTTATAATGAGCTGTTGATACTGACACATGATGAAGGTGACTTCTACAACGTGTGTTGTAATTATAAATATCAGTATTGAATAAAAACATGTTCCCACCGTTAAGTAAGTCAGTTTTGACATACATTACATATTTTTAAATACATAGGCAAGGCAATGGCAAGATTTCAAGCTCAATGAATATAGGCTTTCAGGCACCACGCGAATGGCATTTTTTCATTATTCGAATAATTTTCTTTTTAAATCTAAAAGTTTGGGTACTATATTGTGACGTCATGGATACTCACAGCGACCACAGACACAGAGCTTTCATATAACAATATATTTATTAACAAAAAAACAAAACAAATATATACACTACATAATCTACTTACAACCCTAGCTTTGATAGACCTACCTATCCCCTGATCGCGCGGAGCGATCCAAACCCGATTGAAGATGGTTTTTTGATTGTGTCATTGACCACTCCTACTTCTTGAAGCCGCGCACCAAGCCAAGCTTCCGTGACGAGATGTACTGCTGGGACCAGTCCGCTTCCTGCGCACCCAACGGCTGGCTTGTGCCTCGATCGCAGGAGCGATCTTATCCGATTGAGAATCGTCGTGAATCGTGGCTTCACCTCGGAGTCACCACACAGCACTGTCCCGCTCGTGACGCAGACACCCAAGGACATACAAGTCACAGGCTTCCGTCACTAGTGACTCGGACGCCTCGGCGAGCCTGCGGCTCGCGATCATGCACCGTCGTGGCGCCAAAGTTTTGTGCACTACGCACGAGGTTCTCCTCATTCTGTCTCCAGAACGCCACCCACCTGACTCAAGTACACCTGTTATATAGGCGACGGCCACGTGACTATACGTCACGCGCCACTTCTCGCTTGTTTATAAAGTCGAAACAGGCGGAAGTGACTCCAAAGCCTTGTGTCCTCCGTTTTCCCGCGTTCTTCCTTTTACGAAAAACCCTTTCTTCCTGTGGCGAGGCTAATCCTGCTGACAAAGCGTCCCCAAATAGATGCCATGAGGACGCTGGCTAATACGCTTACACTATGATGAGCTTCCCAGAATGTTATGCCATGTCTCAAGGGGGGAATGCACTTCAAATATACGTACGACTGCAATGAGGCTGAAGAAATTTTGACAGGAGAAATTCCTGGAATGCGTACATCATGACGATGACCTTATTTGAAGTGTTTACTTATGCTGTGATATGCTACATCTTCATATTGAGGGTTTGATTGAATTGAGAGACCTAGAAATTTTGTTACCTGAACATCATCTAATTGCATATTGTTAATTTTCAATAGAGCATGCGATTGATGATTTCAAAGCAAAAATGCATTAAAGTTGTTTTTTCTTTGTTTAATATTAATTTGTTTTTACAAAACCAATTTGAAACTTCTGAATTAGTACTATTTCTTGCTTCTTTTTTGTAAAGAGCATTCGAGTCATCGGCAAACACAACCGTTCTTTCGTTTTTAATAGACGACGGCATATCGTTTACGTATAACAGAAAAAGGTTAGGACCTAAGATGGATCCTTGCGGAACCTCATATTCAATTGGTCAAGAGTTGGAAAGATAAGTAAATAATATCCTTTCGTTCCGGTACGGTATTTCTACTCCTCGAGATCGATGTTTAAGGTACGAGGTTATTCAATCTAGGGAGATACCACGAATTCCACAAGAAAGTAATTTTTATGAGCAATATGTTACGTCAATAACGTCAAAAACTCTAAATATATTACAATGAGTACTTCATTTTTATCTATTGAGCAACATCTTTAAGAAAAGAAAATTGCACTTTCCATAGATTTTGATTTTCTGAAACTGTGTTGAGTGTTTGTAAACGCTTTTTTGAATTGAATTGAATTTGCCTTATTTTACGTGGCGAGACGCTTCGTTGTATCTTGAGAAAATTTTCCATTTCCAAATAAGTCAAAATTTCCAAAGCCTCTCTAATATTTTTTAAATTCCTGACAAAATAAAAATTGGCCGGTAATTCAGTATTTAATTTTTGTTCTCTTTTTTAAAAGTTGGCCTAAGGTTTTCTGTTCTGAAAGTATCTTGATATATTCATGTGCATAAAGAAGTATTGAAAATGTGAGTTAATGGGTGTATAAAGGCAGGTACACAAGTTTTCAATAAACAATCCGGAAATTCATCTAAAACAGATGAATATGTAATTTTTAGTTTACTGACTATTCTCAGGATTTCGTAGAAGTTTCGGAAATAAACATCGCGGTGGAATTTTTTGGGGAAGGGAATGATGTTGAATTTTGCAGTTTTAGTCACTTTGTGAGTTCAGCCGCAATTCAAAAAAAAATGTTGATTGAAGAGATTTGCCACTTTTTCCGAATTATTTTTATTCTCTTTCATTGTCCTTTAAAACAACATTCTCTACTAAGTAAAGTGATTATGGTATTGTATTTTTTACAATATTCCACGTTGCTTTAGTTTTGTTACTAGCATTCAAAATATCCTGATTATTTTTGGTGATCTATCTCCGAGTGAAGGAGAAACTTTGCCATCCAAGTGTGTGGAATTATCTCATCTGAATTAGCGATGCGACATTGACAAGAAAATATAGAAATTGCTTATCACCGTTGGTCAAAATCAAAACAAAACATTTAAAACGTAAAAACATGGAACCCAAAAACTACAATGTTAAAAGCACATCGGTTTCAATGCATCGCATGTTTCTTAGAAAAGATCAATCATCTGAAAAAATCAACATCGATGACGCATCCCTAATCTGAATGAAAGTTTAAAAATGTTAGGTGAAACCACTATAAGGAAAAAGAAACTGTCAAAAAGCATATCCTCGTCGACAAGTGGAGAAATAAGACGAAGTTTAGATACTGAAATATTTGATTTAGAAGAGGTAGAACAAAAACAAGGAAACAAAGAAAACGTCATAAAAAAACTTGTAAATAAAGATACACTACGGATAATAATATAAAAATTAGAATTTTAACAATTTCTGAATATTGGTATTTTCCTATAATTAAAAAACCATTTCGATTCATCTACTCACATGATAACTATTGCAAAACAATTAGCAGCCACAAATGGAATATTGTCAATTCCACATGTAAAATCTGGAAGAGATATCAACGATTCAGTACACCATTGTGTTATGGATTTTTATAGTTAAGATAATGTCAATCGTATCTTGAGCAAAGAAATAATTTTATTTCAGTGAGAGAGAATAGAGGAAAGGTTCACAAACAAAAGAGGCATATACGGACCAATCTAAAAAAACCTACCGACATTTTAAAGACAAGTTTCTTCATCAAAGGGTCTGCTTTTCAAAGTTTGCTGAATTAGGACCGAAACGCTGCATTTTACCAGGAACTAACGGTATACATACAGTGTGTGTTTGTTCATATCACGAAAACTTTAATTTATTGTTTGACAGAGAAGATCTCACAAAGTTAGCAGCAGATGATGTTAATGCATTGGAGGATAATCGGGTCTGCCTCAAAAACGGTTACTTGTGACCCTTCCAGAGCTGAGCGTTACTTGTGAGAAAAATTGTGAGAAATATCCTGAAACAAAAGAACTTCTTAAAATGTTGCAGGAAAAGTTTGAAGAGAGAATGATTGACAGCGTGACATATCGACAATGGATTCCCGTTGACCGAAGTAGGTTGGAAATTTTAGTGTCATCTGTGGAAGAATTCTTAGAAAAGTTCCAACTAAAATAAAAGCTTTAACAAGTCACGCATTTGTAGCACAGCAACAAGCTTCCTTACGAATTTCAGTGCCAAGATAATTTAGCAGATGGGGGAATGATTATTTTGTGTGATTATTCAGAAAATTATTTTTTTATAATTGAAGTTTCCGTACAAGGTGTGATCTGGAATAACGACTGCACCTCCACAATTTTTTATTGCTTATTACAGAGAAAATGGCATTGAGATGCATAAATATTTAGTTGCAATTTCGGTGTGCTTCAAACACGACACAGATGCAGTACATATTTTCAACGAAGTGATTTAAAGTTTTTAAAGACAGATCAAGAACTGAGAAAAAAATATTGTATTTTTCTGTTGGCGTTAGTGCTCAGTGTAAGAACATGATTGGTTTTTAAGGAATATATTTATTTCAGGAAAAAATCTCTATCTTTAAAATTGTAGAAGGAGAAGCCAATTTTCTCCTAAATTGATATTTTGCGATCGATCTAGGCCTATGTCGCGGCGCCTACGTCGAGGTTCTTTACATGAAACCTCTACGACAGTTTCAAAATTTTCAAAAAAAGTGGCCTCATCGTTTTCGATAAAATTTTGTTGTTGGATAGACTGAACGACGATTAATAAAATGATGCGTACTTCATGTTGGTTAAAAACTCAAACTTTCCGAAATTTGTAAAAACTCAAACTTTTTTCGGCATACTTTTTACAACAATTATGAAGATACGTATTTTTAAATGAAATGTGTTCGTTAAAAAAATTTTAATTAGGCCAATGGTAAATTCTTGGAAAGTATGGCACTTTTTATTTATTTGGCGACAAATAAATCGCGTGTACCCAATTTACTGTGTTTCATAAACGAAAATAGAGAAATTACAAGTTATGCTAAGGCGAATGAGGCAATAAATGTCTTAGGAGGATACTCCAAGTCCCTTGGTTTGTACCAAATAGATAGAGTATTACATGTAAATTTCTTTAAAAATTATATAATGGAAAATCTCAAAAACTTTTTTCTTCCCTTTATCATTTTTTCTCCTGTTACTCGAACATATTATTTAGACCGTAATGTTGTGATCCCTAGCAGAATAAAATTCAAATTTCCTAAATATAAATTGTGTCCACCTTAACTATTAGTAGTATAAGAGAAATAATTTAATTAAAATCCATATTCTTTAAAATTAAACAACTATCTTAAACTACTAATATTAGTGACCATGTAAATGATTGCTTACTTTGAATATTGTAAGGCTAAAAAAAGTCATCCGATGTGTTCGCGAATACATTGCATACCTGATAGAATGAAATCAGTTCTAGATATATATTATCATTTAAAGTTTGGAATAAAAAATCTATTGCTTGAAACTACATAATTTTTGCACCACATGTTTTACTATTTCAAATGAGCTTTACAAAAAATTATGACTGAGATGTGTTAATTCATGAAGAAATTATTGTATAAATAGTATTACTTAATCTTTACCTAAGGCAAGAAAGTACTTGCTATTTTAGTACTACTATTTTTCTATATTTAGTTACTGGATACATCCGCTTTTTCGTTACCAGGGCCCGGCAATAAGTGTTTTTGAGTTAAAATTTCGCTATCGTTTTCTGGCGCACATTTCAATACTGTCTCTGCTTATAACTAAAAACTAAACAATATTACTACGTTTTACATGTATGATGTAGTACTTGTACGAATGTCTACTACAACTGTAACTACTAATTTCATTATCTTTACACAGGAAACGTTTAATTCATCTGATCCTGAAGACTCTGTTTTATGCCACGATATCCTGGATAATTTTATCCATGCTCCACATTCTGTTGTTTGTGGAATGATGCTGGTGCTTCCGAAAAAGGAAATCAACTACACCACAATGCTACAATTGAAACTGGAACGTCCGTATCTTGCTTTTTAAAAAAAAAATATATTCCAAAATAAGTTACCAAAAATACTTAATATACAGTTAAGTGCGATGGAATGTAATCTACATCCCTGACAATAAATAACATTATTCTACCTTGTCTACCCTCATTCTTTACCCCTGTTCCTGGTAGTAAATAGTGACACTGCACGAAACATGAGAGTTGCTCTTAGTAATAATGCATAGTGGTGTGAAGCGAATGACACATCCTCAACGAATAACACTCCAAGTGTAAAGTAGGTTGTTTACTCACAGGGGTAAATTAATTCAAATTTGGCACCTAATAACGAATACAAACAATTACGAGTATATCCATACATTGGGATGAATTAATAGCAAAGGGCATACATTTCAAACGTCGCGCGCTCGAGATAAAAAAACTGCCAACGCCTTAAAAACCGCCAACTGCATTACAGGGAAAAAAATTATTTGTCCAACGAATCTCCTTGAACTGCTTTCAAAGGAAGCCGTGAGAGCGCACCACCTTCCAGACGCCGTAGGCGAGCGAGCGCAGGCAACGTTTTGCATTGCGGACATTCGGAGAAATTAGCTGCTTTGCGCAAAGAAGCGGAGATCGCTTAATGTTATCGGCCGAGGCTCGAGGTCATGACTTCTTTGCTGACAGGGCGGCGCTGCGTCGCTGGCTGAGTGGCCGACGTTTCGTCTGATATATCGCAGACTTACTCAGGGCAGTGCACTGCGTTTTTTTCGGCTTAGCCGAAGATTGGTGTGATTTTTGTATTGCTGCTCGCACGCATTTCGCGTTTTACTGCTTTGTGTAAGTGGCTGATTTGTGTTCACGTCGGACCTTAGTCAACGACCAAATCAGTTTTGTGTAGCACCACGCCCTCAGAATATCCAAGGGGAGTGCTTGTCTTCTTTGTCCCATAGTGAGGACATGTTGATTGTTCTAGCGTTGCCGGAGCTTCTTAGGTTTGAAAGCCTTGTTAGGCTGCTTTAGACGAAAGCCGTCTTAAGCATTGAGTCAATGAGTCGATAACAAGTTACTTCCTCAGTACCTTCAACCGTTTCCGAGACGGAGGGCGTGCTATGAGCCGTCGAATTTTGTTCTGTACTAGCTCAAGTGTATCCTCGTACTTCTGTGCTGTGGTCCACCATATTACCGCATATTAGGTGGCCACAGACCGACAACACGTTTTATAGAGGGCCAAGTGAATTTCGAAGGGGAGTGAAGGTTCCCTCAAAAGAGGTTGTAAGGGTGGAACTCTTTGCTGTAATTTTGATCGAATTCGCCTGACATGTAAATGCCAGCACATCCTTCGATCAAATTTGACGCCTAAATAAGTTGCTTCAGGCGCCCATGTCAGTTTTTATGTGCCAAGTGTAATTTGGTTTGGTGGTGTAAAACGTTTAGTGTATTTCTGTTTTCGTCGGATGTAGCATATTGCCTGCGACTTTTCCGCTGAGAAAGTCAAATGGCTTTGTTCCGCCCATTTCAACGTGATTCACGTGCTTTTGAAATATTTTCAATTTTGGTCTAGGTTTATTCCTCTTGTTAAGATGGCTATGATCAGCGCAAAGAAATAGCTGTATTAGTGGTATATGTGGGATGCTATTGGCATATAGCGAGAACGCGGAGAGAGAACGGAGCCCTGACGGACCTGACCGCAATCCTCCGCTTTACCCACTCTGAGTACCTCACTTTATCCATATTTACCACGAATGTGCGGTTTGTGAGGAAAGACTTCAGACGTTTACGTCTTCTGTAGGGCAGCGTCGGAGTTATGTTGTCAGTGTACTGTGTGGCAATTGCAAAACTCATCCCAATCATTAAGTTATGGGACCCCCTGTCATGTCATTTAGTTCCAGATCGTCGGCGCTTATGCGTTTTATATAATAAAAGAACATCGATGTGAGATCTAATACAGAATAACTCATTAATTAGATCGCTGGTGAGGTAGATACCTTTTTATTATGATAAATAAAGATATTGTCTGATATCAATACTTTTTATTTAGCTTATGATCGTTTCGATCGCATAGCGATCATCCTCAGAGCTTGCAGCTTCCGGGCCGAAAACAAAGTTGTTTATTTAACAGAATAACTCGATAATGCGTCGATATTCTGGGTCCGTGTGACCGGAACGGCCGTTGACCAGGTAGCTACCGCTAGAGGGCGGGATCTGGTGTTTGCGTGCGTTCTGTGTTCAGCCATTGCGGCCTGTCACGAGCGCATAGAGTTTGTAGAGTAGTGAGGTTTGTAACATGGTGTTTCAGTGCAGAGAAACTCCTTACGCAGTTGCTCCGTCTCCGACTTAGCAGCAGGCATCTTGTGTGGAGGCGCCTTAGGTGCGACAATTACTTTGTTAATATCAAGTGTGTAAGTTAAAGAAATATAATATATTCATTTTATATTATTCCTTGTACTTTAATTTATTTCATTCAAGATAGAAGAATTCTTATACATAGCGAAGCGGATACGACATCAAGGTTACACTCGACGCATCCGGTGATCCTCAAAGTCGCACATCAACATCGTGGCATCAAATAATTCTACCGAATTAGCCCAGAAAGAACTGGATAGCAACATAAATGCTATATCTACCCGTATAATCAAGCTGCCTCCTTTTTGGAAAAACAGACCAGCATTATGGTTCGCACAAGTCGAAACACAATTACCGTAACGACGGATCACTTCAGACAACACAAAATAGTTTAATGTCTTATCCAACCTGGAACTCCGCATGGCCCAACACGTCGAAGATAGTTTAACCAATTCCTTAGCTACAAATAAATATTATACATTGCGTTTCAAAATTATTAGACGTTTATCTACATCCCAAGGAAAACAAATAACAGCAGCATGACGAAGTGTTAGGAGACGGCAGTCCGTCACAATGTCCTCGGCATTTACAATCTTTAACCGCTAACATGAATATTCACGACGAATTTCTAATTGGACGCAACGTCTACTTAAGAATATTCTAGCACCTTTAGAATGACAACAACAAGCCGATCTTTCACAGTGTGCCGAACTCGCTGATAAGATCGTATATGTGATTTCGACAACTCCATAAGTCCATTCAATTAACACCCCGTCGCATTTTCTCAATTCATTCGAGAGTCTTTAGCAACAAATAGTGCAACTCACCATACGTTTCGAAGCACTGCAAACAAGCCTGCTACTCTTCCGTAATCCCGTAGCCGTCAGCGTTTCACACCTTCATCCGAATCCAAAGACAATACAGGTATGTGTTACTATCAATCAAAATATGGTGCAAGTAGTTATCAGGAAAACACGGCGCAATCGATTTATAAAAATGGCGCCCTCGATTTTGATTAACTTTTGTCCATGGACAGTCTGCAGGGTGTTTAAAAGAACTGGGCAGGTCTCATTTGGTTGACAACTCTGATTTTTCGAAAATTGTAAAAAAAACATCAAAGTTTTTCGGCGTGTTCCTACTAAATTTTAAAGATGTGTGTAAAGAGTGTCCGAGGGTCATCATGTAAAGTACCTCCAAAATAGAATATCGATTTCAAATTCAAGGGGTCGTGGCATCAGCCAAATCTATCGGGGAACTTCAATTTTGGAGATAATTGACTGAACGGTTCAGCCTCTAGCGTTGTTCACAGACACGAACAGACAGACGCTCTGCCGTCAATCGATTTTTCAGTATCAAGGACCCATACAATATGGATTCTGTCTAAACCACGTGTTATAGGATTTCCCCCCTAACTTTAGCAACTGGATTTATCCACTTTTTTGTTACCAGAACCCTGTAATAAGAGTTTTTATGTTGAAAATTCGCCGTTTTTTCGCACAGCATTACATAACTTTCTCTTCATAAGAAGTTCCTTCTTAAGCGCGAGAAAGTAAAAAGTACTCAATTTACACAATTCGACTTCTTTTTAATTTATAGGTTTATTGTTCTTTCTGAAAAAAATTCGTTTATTTTGTAAATAATAAACAATTTACATATTTCTAGAGTTTATCCATTCTTCTGAAGTGCAAATTTTTACCTAGGCAGCATTTTCTTCAAAACAACTTTTGAGCGCTTGACAGCCGCTTAACCATTCGGATTATCCAAGTAGTTTATTAGACAAAATATATTGAAAAGTGTCTTAAAAAGCTCATTTTGAAAGTTTCCACAGTTCCTCCCAGGACATTCTGTGATGTATTACATAAATGGATTTAGAACATTAACACTATACAAGTCCAAACAGAGATCTGTTATGGACGAGAGCAAAATAAAGAGGAGAAAATTGTGTGAATGATTATTAAATGTGATTAATGAAGAATAATGAGATGAAAAATTATCGGAACAATAAAAATTTCGAGCATCATTTCTCATTCAAAATCAAACTATGAATGAAGTTCGGTGAGGGATCAGAAGAAATTAGAGGTAGAGAGGGGTAATGAGATGAGTGAATTATTCAATATCAGCTGTAGCTTTCTACTTAATTAGGCGTGCTGCTTCTCCTGATTTTAAATCTCCCTCTGGAGAGAGAAAGAGAAAGAGAAAGAGAAAGAGAAAGAGAAAGAGAAAGAGAAAGAGAAAGAGAAAGAGAGAGTAAGAGAGAGGGAGAGAGGGAGTGAGAGAGGGAGAGAGGGAGTGAGAGAGGGAGAGGGAGAGAGAGGGAGAGAAAAAGAGAGAGGGAGAGAGAGAGAGAAAGAGAGAGGGTGAGAGAGAAAGATTCAGTCAGTGTTTACCACATATGTTTTCACTGCCGTGTGGAACCACATGACCTCACGGCTGACTTCAAATAAAATTTTGTTTGAGACTACCTGGTCTGTTATATTTTAAACAAGAGATGATAATTCATAGATAATTGCACTACTAACGAACTCAACAGTTGTAATTAATCCATTTGGTATCACGCAAGGTAAATTAATGAAGCGAAAAAAGTCAGTAATATAAAGTATTATTGGGTAATAATTAACACATCAATTACATTGAATTATTGTGTATATGTGATGAGGTGATTTATAATACGTGATAAACTAGAAGGGAGGAAAGAAGAAAGTCCCATATATACTACAGCATTGATGGCTTACAGCCTCAACTTGTCAGTTGGTATTCCAGACACCGAAGAATTTCAAAAATATCGACATTTTGAGGTTTACAAAAATAT